GGGAGGACTAAGTAGTCTTCCTAAGAGCCTTATTAACTTCGCCTACGGTAGATAAGAGCGTACTAAGCAGGTCTCTTCGTTCGTTAATAAGTATAAGGTCTGTCGTTAAGGCGCCGAGCATCTTTCCCGTACTATAATCTATCGTATATCTACCGCTAGTAAGAAGGTAGGCAAGTAGTTACTTAACTTGTCCTTTACGCTTAACGACTTTACGATAGCCTACTAGAAGAAGCACTACGATGCGATTGTCTAGGTCGATCTTAACGTATAGATAACTAAGGATCTACTAAAAGAGAAAGGCTATCGCATTAATAGTATAGGCTTTATTGTTAAAGGTTAAGAGGCTCCTATCGTTAATGTCCTTAAACGTAAGGCTCTTCGCCTAGAAACCGAGGCCGATACGGCTACTAGTCTTGCGCTCGCTATAGAAATATAGGCTAAAGATCGTCGCTCGACCCGTAACCGTAAGGTCTCTTAAGAAGTTTAAGACGAGCGCGCTAAGGCCGAAGTAGCGCGTAAGAAGGCATTGTATACTCGCTAGGCCCTCCGTAAGGCTACTAAGAAGTATAGTACTCCTTCTAGTACCGACTATAGTACTAACTATAGTACTAACTATAGTAACTCGGATATTAATATACTAGATATACTACTAGAAGATGTCTCCTCCGAAGGCTCCTTTAGCGAGCGTAGAGATAGAGGCCTCTCGCCGATCCTATTAACTAAGAATATCTATAGTTCTTATAAGGGCGACTCTATTGCGTACCTTATTACCGAGATCGATATAGTTCCTAAAGCCGATATAGGTAAAGCTCCTACTGCCCTATCTATCTATTAATAGCTCGACGACCTTAGCAAGCTAGGTAAAGAGCGGTTTACTATATATACTAACTATATTAAGAAGGCTGCTAAGGTCTATAGTCTCTATACTAGTGCTAAGACGAGTGTCCTTATTAGCCGCCTATTAAAGATTAGACGTAATATCGCTAATTAAGATGCCTTCGCTGCCCTTAAGGCTAATTAGGCCTATGCGGACTAGTTTCCTAGACGCCCTGTTACCGCCCCGACCTCTCTAGGACTCTACGCGTTTAACCCTACTAGTACTATTACTCGCGCCCTTACGCCGACAGATCGCTAGAGCAAGTTCGTTACCGGTATCCTTAGCTAAGGTACCTCCTTCGACCGCTTTCGCTAGACTAGCAATGCTATCTTCCCTTAAGTCTTTAGTTAGTTATAAGAGCCTCGTAGAGTATATCTTCCTTTCCTTATCGATCTAATATAGGAGGAGTTTAAAATATACCTTTAGTATATACGTACGATGCCTAAGTCTAAGCAAGAAGGCCGCAATACCCTTTAAACTTATAGTATAAGTAACTAGATCGTCCGCTAGTATCCTGCCCTATAGCTCTTAGCTATCGCCCTTCGACCTAATTACGTATACGAGCTTATCTCCGTCCCTAAGCCTACTAAGTTCTTTAAGGTTAGCGGTACTTATAAAAACTGTCCTTCTAAGGAGTCTACTCGTCTCGGACAAGATATAGTTAAGCTCGCAGCTAGCGAGGGTGCTAGTTACCTACGCATTAAGGTCTGCCTTATATCTAAGGATAAGACTAGCTACTCTACTATTATCGAAGGCATATATTAGCCCGAGGTCTTTGCGAACTAGGTTAAGAAGCTTAAGGCTCGTAGCCTAGTCCTACTAAGCAAGATCGGCAAGCTTACTAATAAGCACCTTACCGACGACGACCTCGACTATATGTTTAATAGTTAGCCTAATAGTAAGGGGCGTAAAGCGGAGTAGATCCTTAATCCTCTAAAGGAGTGCGAGGTCTCTATTTAGATGCTATACCTACTATATAGTAATCTAAAGACTAAGAGCAACCGTATATTAATTAACCTAGGCTACTCTCGCGTTATTAACAGTACTAAGGTTAAGGGCTACGAGAACTTAATAGTCTCTTAGGTTGCTAAAGCGTACCGTAATCTAACCGCCCTCCTATCCTCTAACTCCTACGTACTATTCGCTTTCCCTACGGCTATCTTAGTCGAAGGCCTCGGCTATATCTCCGACGCCCTAGTTAGTAGGATTCCTTAGTTAAGTTACGTTGTTTAGAACGAAGTTGAATAGATCCTCTAGCTTAATAACGAAGGACTTAAGGAATATCTATACGATTAGGAGAACGCTACGACGGAAAAGGCTGCTAACCTCCTCGTTAATTAAGCTTTCTACGAGGGATAGTACTTCGGTGCTAACAGCTTTAACGTATACGGAGGAGATTTCGAGAGCCGACTAGCAGATAAGGTTATTACTAGTAAGGATTACAGCGCGTTAAAGCAACAGTAAGTCTATATAGTATTGCTTAGGAAGTTGTTTTTGTATAATTATAGCATCTAGGATTAATGCTACCCCGGAGGTATTATTGCGGAGTTCTAAGAATAGCCTTAGCTAGGAGCGCTAAGGATGCATATATGTTTGTTTTAAGCGCGCATAATGTAAACCGTATCTAGTTAGATACGAAGAAAGGGAGGGATATTAGCTAGTAACCGGCCCTATACCTATAGGCTAGTTTTGAGCCTATATAAGAGGCCTCCTTCTATAGAGTAGACAGATTATTAACCTCGTATAGCACATTGTTTATGTTACACTTCTACAATGCCTATATTGCAGGGCTCTAGTTATTAGCCTAAGCGACAGTCTCGTTATCCTATCTTACTAAACATAGCTGCCTATATTGCTATAGGTTATATTACCCTCGGTAGCCTATACTATTGCTACGAGTAGTAGTAGTAGTGTTAGTTTCCGTCCTTTACTATATCGTAGATACTACTCTTCTATCGTACCTATTAGCACCCTCTTCTTCGATAGAAGCGTAATAATCTAGCTATCTAGACTAGAGGTTAGTATATACAGATAGGGGAGACTATTCTTGCGGTATGTCTAAGCAATAGTAACTTCCGAGCCGTTAATAACAGTAAATAGCACGCGCTTGTTATTCCGATAGAAACAGCCCTTATCGGCAAGCTTCTTAGTAGATAGGAGGTTAGCTACTAGACCTAGTATATATAGTATATCGGACAACTTTATATTACTTATACTACGCTTATTAACAACCTTAGTCTAAGCTATACTAACTATCGTAGCGTGCTTCGTGTTGCTACTAAACCGGATAGGAATATAATAGCCTTCGTATTTAATAAGCAATAAAGGATTATTAACTATATATATACTAGTACCTAAGTCGACAACCTAATTAGTAGTACGAGTCGCTATAGTAAGTGCTATAGAAGCTACGTTACTAACAGTAATCGTATTAAAGGCGTAGTTGCTGCTTAGGTCTAATAATACCCCCGGGGTAGCATTAGCCGCATATAGGCCCTAGGCACTATTCTAACTAGATAGCGGCTATTGCTATTGTTACTGCATAGTTAGTCTACGCTGCTACTGTTGCTGCTGCATCCCCTTCTTCTTAGCCTTCTACTATTTACAACGTAGTCGGTCTTCTTCCTTTAGATAAGGGTATTTAGTATAGTAGCGGTTAGAAGGGTACGATCCCTAATAATAGGCGCACTTCTTACGGTTAGACTAATAACTATTCTAGTTGTTTCTACTACGACTACGACTACTGTTATTGTTTCCGCGGCTACTACGACCGCTACGGTTCGAGTTACCTCGACTATTGCTATTACTATTGCTACCTTGCTATTATAGTTAGCGTTAAAGACCGAAGAAGCTATTATATTAGGCCTAGTTTAATTAAGCTATATTCTTATTAAGCAACGCGCTAATAATATTGTTAAGGGTACTATTATTAATAGTGTATTCCGAGGCGCGCATTTGCTTACGGCGTATCTGTGCGAAAGCCTCGTAGAATAGAGCGATCTATATAATAAATATATAGATAGCCTAATACTAGCTAATAGCTAATTTAGTATCCTTTAAGGTACCGAGCTTCTTCTTATATTTATTATAGAACTTCTCGACGTCCTTGCTATCGTAACGAAGGGTAATATAGTCCTAGAAGAGCATAAATTTAGTAGACCTACCTTTACTAGTATACTTCTTATATAGATAATTCTATACTACCTAGGAGGTATCGAGTCTAAGCAACGACTACTAGATCTCCGATATATAGTTAGCGAATATCTACGTACGCGCTAACTAGTCCTTAGCCTCCTATTTATCTTAGCGGTCTTTAAATTGAATTTGCTCCTATGTTTTAGTAGATAATAGCTTAACTTTAGGCTTTAGGCGGGTCCCTTAGATATAGCGCTATACCTATATACCTTTAAGGGCACCCTTAGCGGCATAGGCCTATGCTAGATAGTTCTCCTTATTCTTTAGCTTAGGAATGTTGCTTATATAAGCGTTAGATATTGTTATAGAGGGAGCTATTATAGATAGCGACGGCGATATAGAAATAAGACTATAGACTTGTCTTAAGGGGCGGCCGATAGGCGCGCCTACGTTCTAGTATAGCGGACAGCTAATACTAGTATAGCAGACAGCTAACACTAATAGTAACCGACTCGAGTCGGACTAGTACTTACTAGAATACTCGAGGGTAGCGGCGGCGGCGACGATATTAGTATTAGCGTAATTTTTAGTAACGAGCGCTATCTACGTAGCAGTTAGATTAACTATTAGAAAACGTATAGAATGCGTTAGAAACGCAGGGGGCTTATAACTACTTAATGTAACTAATGTATTTAGAAGAAGGACTATCTACGGAAAGTCTAAAGATGAAGTGCGTCAGTTGCAGCCTCAGGCATCAGGCACGTGATGGACCCTGACACCTGGACACACACTCCAAGTCAAGGTGACTCCGCTCGTTTCGATCTAGACACAGCGGCGCTCGTGCGTGTCTTGGCAGGATGTGAAGTGAATGAATGAGTGGAACTTCAGCCCAGGCAAACGCTGTTCCCGAAGTTGCTCCAAGTTTCCGCGTTGCATTTACCTCTCCAATCCATTATTGTTCCGCTTTGCTCTCGCACCTCGACAAATAATGGCGAGTCGACATCCTAATCGCCGCGCAACGCGATTTGCGGTGCCCTCGAGCACGCCTCCATCCGTTCGTATGAAGCGCCCTGCTCAGAGCATACCCATCGGGGATCCCCTACTGCACGTCTCGGTTTCCTTCGAATGCTGCGCCTGTCTCGATTCTTGCTCGGGCATTCCCATCTTCGTCGCTCAGACCGCAGTGTGCGAAGACTGCTTTGAAGACGGCATCAAGCCACAGTTTGAAGAAGCGCTGATTAACGAGGGGCAATATCCGGTGCGATGGGGCGATGCGATTTTGGACCCGTTCGATTATGGCATGCTTCTACCACGCGGGCTCCTCCTCTTCTATAAACAGAAGCAATACGAGTACCAAACCGTGGTCAAAGCGCGGCTGTATTGCAAAGCTGTTGACCGAGGCACCAACCAAGCCTGCAATGCGTTTGTGGGTCGAAAAAAAGCCGGAAGGCCGTTTCAATTGACATGCAATGCTTGCGGCAGCCTAGCATGCTCAAAATGTGCCGGCGCTCTGGTCCATTTTGGCAAGCACGTCTGCAAGACCGATCTCGAGGTCGACCCGTTCACTGGCATGCTGCGAGGCAAAGACTACCAGCAGTGTCCGAATTCATCATGTCAGGTCAAGGTCGCGCTGTGGGACGGCTGCAATGGCGTCAAATGCCTGTACTGTAAGACGGAATTTTGCTTTGTATGCGGACAACCTGCTACTGCGAATAGTACCCACTGGGTCGTTGGGCGAGGCTGCCCTCGCTTTGGAAGACCCGGTACATCCCACGCTATACATGACCCAGTCCTGTCTCCAGAAGTCGAAGCCAGGATCCAGCGTCGAGAGGCACTCCGTGTCGAGCAAGAACGTATCGAAGGGAGTCCCGAAGGCCAGGTCATGCGAAGAGATCGACACGAGCTCCAGCGCATCTTTGATGCTCATTATGAGCATCAAGAGCAGCGTAACGTCCTGCAACGCCTCATCAACAACCTCGCTCCCGCATTGGATGCTCATGTCGCGCATTTGCGAACCCTGGACCGGGACACAACTCGACACCAAGAGAGGACAGTAGTGCATGGCCGAATGAGGGGGGTCATCAACGGCATACGCATGGCTTCCGAGAGAGGTTACCTAGGCTTGCAGCCGTCTCTCAAAGCTATCATCTCCCGATACATGTTCGCCTTTGAGGGACACCAGGAAGCCAGTCTCATGTTTGCAACACCAGAAGGCCAGCTTCGCGATAGACACACCGATATGCTGCAGCAGATTCGAACTGAAGTCCAGAGAGTGCGCTCCTCATATGAAGGCCAGAATCTCCCCGTCCCTGCGTGGCTTATTGCTTTGGAGGAGATCTCCGGGCTACTGGAAACGGCACTGAACGTATATCTGGCGAACGCGATCTCGAATCCACAAGTGTCCCAGATCGAGGTTTTGATGCATCAATACGACTATGACAAGATCCAGCGTCTTATCGAAATGCTTTCACCGGTCGCTGTACATCAGGCATTGGTACGTCGTCTAGCCCCCATTGTGGACGCATATCAGCTTGCATCGGCTGGACGATTTGCGGATTTAAGGAGCATGGCTGTCAATCAGGTGGGATAGGGACCGAGGAGCATTGGAGGTGTTGGATGCGCGTAAGAGATCATGAAGGGGGGCAAGCAGAGTCAGAGGTGTGTTGTTGGGTCAGAAAGTGCGGCTCAGGAGGGGGAAGGGAAGGGCTAGACATCGTCGACGAACAGCAAATCGTGAGCCCAGATTCGGAGTTGTTATATCGTCCCTCAGAGGGCAGCGAAACGTGGTTCATTGTGCCCACAAGGTCAGCTCGACCGCGAGGACACGACTATTGACATTGTGCCAAAAGTGCTTCGTCTGACGATACAACTCAACAAGAAAGCATCACCTTGAAGGTCTTTTGCTCATGATCCGCTCCTGCAAAGAAGACCTCTTAGCTAGCGAGTCTCGCAAGCTGATTTCGATTGAAGGCTCATACATTCACCCCAAGAATTTGAATCCTTTCAAGCATCCCGCGCTTCTCCAAGATTCTCAACAGATCTAGGCAACGCAACATGGACAGCTTGGTACAGAAGTGCATCCAAGAGGTTGAAGCTAAGAAGAGATCAAGCGTGCCATGGCAGTTTGATCACCCTTATCAGCAGCCTTACTATGTCTTCAACAACGCGGAGTGGCAAACTCGGGAGCCTGTCAGCAAGTCGTCACCAGGAGCAGCAGATATCACGAAGCTGGCACTGTACAGCTGGAACATTGATTTTATGCTACCGGCAGCACAGTCAAGGATGAACAAGGCTTTATCCCATCTTGAGTCTATGGTGGCCAAGACGGACGCTTCGACGGCCACAGTAATCTACTTGCAAGAGTGCGTCGAATCAGACCTTCAGACTGTCTCTTCCAATACTTGGATCCGATCCAACTTCGCACTCACTGACTTGAGTGGCAACAACTGGCAGTCCGGACATTATGGCACCATCAGCTTGGTGGATAAACGCCTTCCTATAACATCCTGTTTTCGCGTCCACTATTCGAAGACTCGCATGGAAAGGGATGTCCTAATCGTGGACGTCAGAATCCAGCAACAAAGCATCAGATTGTGCAACAGTCATCTTGAGTCTCTTGCGCTGGAGCCGCCATTTCGGATACCGCAAATGAAGTTGATTGCTGAGTACATGCATGACCAGTCTGTGGATGGCGCCGCAGTTGCTGGTGACTTCAATGCCATACAGCCATTCGACAAGTCTTTGCATTCGGACAACGGCCTCAAAGATGCGTATCTCGAACTTGGCGGCCGCGAAGACGATGCGAGTGGGCATACTTGGGGCCAACAAGCTGCCACATCCCAGAGAGAGCGCTTTGGCACCAGCCGCATGGATAAAGTGTATTTTGTCGGAAGTCTTGAGCTTCTATCATTCGAGAAGTTCGGTGGTGATGTATGTGTCGAAGACCAATCCGAACAAGACCAGATCGTTAGTCTTGGCTTTGACAAGCCATGGATCACGGACCATCTAGGCGTGAAAGCTGTGTTTGGGCTGCGTAGCATCAAGCAGAAAATGTAGAAGACCTAAAGCCGCAGTCGCGTGACATCCTTCAAACCATTCTAATCTCCTTCTCTGCTCTTCCAGTTTCGTGCGCAAGCCCGACAATGCCGTGCATGCCCAGCCGACTGACAGCACCCTTCTTCAGCCCAAGTCTCCGCTCAATATCTTCATCTTTTCGACCTTGCTGGTCCCGCATCGTAAGAATCTGTCGGATCTGGTAGACATCCAGAAACTCTCGTCCTGTGTGTGCTCGTCGACCGGCCTCCATGAATTCAATCTCAGCTTTTTCTTGCAATTTTGCTCTCGCTTCCAGCACTAATACGGCAGGGTTCTGTCTCGGGTCGGGCCCAGATCTTGCAGCTTGATTGGGATTGAATGCAGATGTTGGCGAAAGCGTAGGGTTGGGCTGCACAGGACCTATCGAGCGTAGCGATTGTGCGAAGTCGGGATCTGAAGCATCGAGATTGATGGCATTGTCGCGAGACCCGCTTGCGCGAGGCGTTGGTTTCACGGTTGGGCCTGGTTGTGATGCCGCTGCTGGAGGCGGCTGTGGAGCGGCATTGGTTGTGGTTTTGGATGTCGTAGCACTGGCACTGCTTGTAGGAGGCGATTGCGTGGGAGTCCGTGTAGGATATTTGCGGGCGGCGGAGCCTGCTGCTCGCGATGCTTTCGATGCCGATGAACCCATGATTCTTTAACGGAGGATGTGTAGGTAAGTGAACGAATTCGGCGATACTTATACCAAAAATAATGAAGTCATGGATGGGATGGAGCTCGGACGGGACGCGAACTCTTCGCGAGATCAGCAGCTCACATCCACCTACACCTTTCACTTCTACCTTCCCGATGTCTACATAGGAGATGCCACATCTACAGACAAAGCAGCACCATATTGGCATTACTGGGAGGATACCAGCACTCCAAAGCCCTGCCAGTATATATGGTAATTGAGATGGTAATGAACGCGAGCTTTTCGTCTCCATTCCCCTCACCCGATCCACCACCTCGCATGTTCCTCGTAAGTTGCTAGACCGTGCTGGAACTGGAACTGCTTCTGTACTACAGATTGATACGGCGATGAGGCAACATGCGCCTGCTAGATACCTCCAACGTCACGCTGCACGAATTTGACAGTCACCGAGCGCCCGTATACGCCATTGTCTCTCATCGCTGGACAGACGAAGAAGTAACATATCAAGACTTCCTGTCTGGAAGGAATCGAGATGGAAAAGGGTGGCAAAAGATCATTCAAGGCTGTCGGATCGCCCGTCTTCGCAACATTAAGTGGCTATGGATCGATACATGCTGCTTGGACAAGCACAGCAGTGCAGAATTGACGGAATCAATCAACTCAATGTTCAACTACTACAAAAATTCTAAGCAGTGTTATGCCTTCCTGCCTGACGTCGAAGTTCAGCAATCAGATCCAGTGTTCTACGACCAATTGCAGAACAGCACCTGGTTCACTAGAGGCTGGACACTGCAGGAGCTATTGGCATCGAGCCTGGTCAACTTCTACAACGCGAAGTTCCAGCTCATTGGTGTCAAAACACGGGAAAGTTCCTTCTGCGAGGCGCTATCGAAGATCACGGGAATCGGCATTACATATTTGCAGCGTCCCCGTGAACTCCGCTTGGCCAGTATCGCAGAGCGAATGCGATGGGCATCGTTGCGTGAGACAACTAGAGTCGAAGACATGGCGTACTGTCTCCTGGGCATCTTCGACGTCAACATGCCTCTAATCTATGGAGAAGGCCGGAAAGCCTTCACACGACTTCAACTAGAGATAATCTCAAAATCAGAAGACGAGAGCATCTTCGCATGGACTTCGGACAAACCCTTATGGAAAGGACTTTTGGCTCCCTCGCCGTATGCATTTGCTGGCCACGAAGCAATCGAACAACGTGACATCTTCCAGCGCGCTCCATACTCAATGACTAACAAGGGACTTCAGCTTTCTCTCCCTGTCCGGACCGACTCCATCGGGCGACAAGGGACAACCTTATTATTCCCACTCAACTGCGTGCGCATTTCCACTTCTAATGAGTCTGGACAGCGAAGAGAAGAACAGATCGCACTTCGTATATACGTCAAAGCTTTGCCCGATATTCACAACTCAGGCTTGCGAGTCTTCATCGGGGATGCTGTGCGTGAGCCTTTTGGCTTAGACCAGCTTCTTTTCAGTCCCATGATGCACCACTGGTTTATAACCGGCCGTAGAAAGAGCGGGAGAGCCTATCACAAGCAACGATTCGCCGCCGAATGGAACCCCGGTCTGTACGGCTGCTCAAGCACTGTGGGTGTGTTTGAGCGAGCCGATGCTGCGGAAGGCCATACGCATGCCATATATTTCAAGCAAGGCGGAATGTAATGATGATGACTGGTGTAAATAGCAGCACTGCACATAATCCGACAGAGCAATTTGGAGTCTATTTGGATCGATCTATGGGATATCTAACAACATTTTTTACTAGCAAAAATGCACAGTTTCAGGGCTATTGTGTCGCCTATCAGGCATCGCTTGGCTTCCACAAACTCTCCTTGGTCCACTTGTTTCCGATCAAGTGCTCATCTCTGGCCCGCCCAGACGTGAAATCTCGTCCTTGGATCAACGAGACGAAGAAGCTCGGGACTTTCCATCCAAACACTTCGCCCACTCCCTTATCACGACCTACTGGCACAAGTTGCGCGGTTGGCTTTGACTTGAACTCCCGATCAGATCTGCGATCAGACCAGAAGCGTCGATTGGATGATGGGACACTGGTGCCGAGGAACGTTGATGTGGGTGACGGCAAAAGCGCTGGACCCCCTAGCTGCTGTTACCTGCACGCGTCGAAAGGAAACGGCAGGAACGTGCCGAAGGCGCATGGCAACATCACAAGCCTTGACTCGGCATAAGGACACGCTTCTATTCAGTTCATCGCCAGAGGCTCACGTAGAAGGATGGACATGTGTCGGCAGCATGGATCTGGCCAAAATCCCATTTGCTGCTGCTGTAATGTCGCCCCCCCCCCCCCGGATTGTAGAGCTAAACCGTCGATTCATTTTCTACATCACCATGTTTCACCTTGCAATCGATCCCGCAGAGAGCGTGGATCAGTCAGACTCTTCTTCTTGAGAAATGGAGGTCGAAAAGGGACCTCCTCACCCATGCTTGCCGAGCTTGGGGGGCTCTCATCGTCGGCAAGTCCATATGAAAGATCGGCTTCGGCAGTGCAGTCGCAGCCACAGCCTGTTGGACATGTGTACTGGCTCTCGCCCAAAGCCAGCAACATCTTGTCTAAGCAATCCAGATGCATCGTGTGTAGGCAAGCAGAGCACATGTGCTCAGCTGCTTGGATTGCGCAGAAGCATACCCCGCAAGTTGCGTGTTGTTGACCGTCGTCTATGAGTGGCTTCACCGTCGAACTCGCAGGAGAATTCCAACCCGGTGTTGCTTGGCTCTCGTCGGCGATTTTCTCCAGCTCGGCAGCTTCAAGCAAGAGATTCCAGGCACGCAGCTGCTCGGCGTAGCTCTCCCGCCAAACTTTGCTCTGTTCACTGTGCTGATCAGGGAGAAATGCCGCTTCGAAAGAGGCCGCAGGCTCGTCCCAGAAAAGGTCGTTGGTGCTTTTGATATTCACACCGGTGGGAGGCTTCAGGGTGTGCGGCAGGCTAGCGTCATCTATCGTCTTGTCACTGTCGTAGTCATCATCCTGCTGCGCAAGGCTCAAGCTGCGCTGGCTATGTCTTGCGGTGTCCGTGGTGGAAGCGAATGACACAGACTTGCTCCAGCTTCCCGGTGTGGTGTTTGGCAGACTTGACGACAGCTCGTTTGCGTTTGGACTATCACTCGGCATCTTCTTCGGTGGAGGCGATGAACCATAGGACGACAATTTATCCGTAATCGTCTGCGCATAATACTTGGCAGCTGAGCTGAAGCTAGTTCGTTGCGTCTCTGGACTCACAGATCCCGACGAAGAAAGTTTTGTTCCTGATCTTTGGAAGTACGGCAATCCTAGAGGCGGCGTGCTTGACGAAGAGTCCAAGTAGGGCGTCGGTGGCTGGGAGGGCTCCCTTGAAGACGCCTGAGAGCGTGCCTTGATCAAAGAATCATCTTGACTGATCTGGTCAACGAATTCGGCACCGGCGCGGAGGATAGGAATCCTTGGAGGCAACTTCAATGGATCGATTTTGGTGGAGGCAAATTCTGCCAAATGATTCTGAGCGCCGTCGGGTTCACTTGTGTCTCTGCTTTTTAGAGACTGAACACTACGGCCCAGTGCTTTAGAAGCCTGTAACATCAGTGCCGAGACATGAGCTAGCAGCTGTATTTCCCCCCTGCGCTCTGCCCATTCCAAAATTTGCGCAATAGCCCATGCCTTGCCCATCGGATGTCGAGACCAAGACAATATTGCCAATGCTGGCCGTGCAAGTCGCCCAACATAGCTAGAGGCCGTCGAAGGATTACGGGAAGCAGTGGGCTTTTGCGACGAGAGCGAGCGCGATGGCTCACCTCCGTTGTCCGGCAATATGGGATCGACTACACTTTTGGATTCTGTGATCAGGGCCAAAAGACGCCAAAGATCTGAGATCTCTTCCAGGCCTACGTCTTCGGCAGCGCCAGCATGATTCAAGCACACATCAGAAATGGTCTCGTGACGATCAGGAAGGACACAGTACTGATCAGCCAGGATACGATGAGGTTGCAGCTCAGGTCGAAGCTCACGTACCGCAACGAAGACTCTCTGCTTCACGGTCAAAGACATCGAGATGGGCTTCGTAGGCGACACCTTTGCTGACCACGACATCTCAGAATCCAAGGTCAGATGTCTAAGAGAATGGCCCAAGTCACTTTCCGCGCCAGCTCCGTTTTCCCGATGGCCTTCTGAGGCCATGCTATCCCTGCGATCAATGTCCGCACGCATGAGATTGCCGAAACCTTGAAATAGCTGCTGAACTTCACGACTTTGCAGTCTGGGCAGATCAGCCTGATGTGTAATGCTGGCGTCCTCGGTGGCAGATGATGGTCGCATCTTCGAGGGGAAAAACGTAAGTAGTTGCCCATTGGGTGCGAAAGCTGCTCCACAGGTTCTTGGTAGTGGCACATTTACTCCTCCGGGGAGGAAGGAGCCGCTGCCTTGCATGATCTCAGCAAATGCCTCATCGTCGGAGTCGCTGTCGTGATTTGCCGATGAAGCAATAGAATCGAATGAGGAGCGAGGTGGAAGACGCACTGTCTCGTGTAGCGGCGTGAGCACCGGAGCTGGCGAGGTCTTCTTAGCAGGTATGCCTGGCGACAGAAATGGCATCGGTGAATCATGCTCTTGTTCAGCATTGGACGGTTTTGGTAGTTCCAGACTGGAGGTCATTGAGCGAGGTGTGGGGGTTGCAGATCTAGAGGGCTCACCATAAACCTTGTACGTAGCTTTTGTTCTAGGGATAGGTCGATGCAAGGGCTGTGGTGGGGACTCTTTCGTAGAGGTTGACAGCGTTGGAGGTCTTGCTATGCGCTGATACAGACTCAGCTCGGGCCTCATAGAGCTGGTCGAGAGAGCATCTATGTTATCTTTGGAGTCTCGTACAGTCAGAGGATGATGATGTATGGACATTCCAGGAATCCACCTCATACCATCTAGAACAGGTCCAGGAATCTCGTAGGCGTGTGCGTCTGTGCCAAAGCAGGCTACAACCTCGATTGCATCTGCACGTTGGCGCAAGGTGAAGCAGTCTACTTGGGAGTCGAGGCGGAGCCGCCAAAGCTCTGTAGGCTCGTTGTGGTTTTCCATGAAGGTCACAAAGAATAGCACATGACCTTTGTGTGGAAGGACAATCAAGCCATTGCGACCAAACAGCAGGGCCTGACTGATCCGAAAGCTGAGATCAAAATGTATGGCAGGCTTGAAGGGCAAGTCGTCGAGATCACCAAATGCTCCAAGCTCATCGTCACTGTCATCGAATACTCCAGAGGCAGGAGCCCTAGCTCTGAACGACTTTACCGCGTCATGCACATTGTAAATAGCGACGGATCCAGTGAAAGATATGCCGATGACTCGCTCGGGCTGACTGGAGAACCAAAGCATGGATTTCAAGCCCGATTCCATTGCCTCGGTGAGCAGGACAGGGCGCGTGCTTGGTAGCGACCAGACGGACACGCGATCCTGATGACACGCGGCAAGGAGATCTGCATCATGGTCGCTGAAAGCAACATGAGTGCAGGCGCGGCGAGAGGCACGCAGATGGCGCAGTGGCCGTGCGGGATGCTTCAGAGTCCACACGCATATCGAACCGTCGACATGGCCCGTGGCTAACAAGCTTGATCTGCTCTTCGAGAAGGAAACGGACGTGACCACCCTTCCATTCCCCTTCAGCGCACATTTGACCTTTCTGCTTTCGACATCGAAGATCAGGATTTGGAGGCCGGTTGCGATTGCCAGGAGGTTCAGACGGGTTGCTGAAAAAGCCAAGACTGGCTCAAACCAAGGCCGATCTTCCTCGTATCGAAAGAGGCGTCGATATGCCTCGCGTCCAGACAGCTTCCGGACAAACACGCCTCGATAGTCGGAAAATGCCGTGTGGTGCGCGTTGACAGCATAGGTCGCCGCGCCTTCCGTGCCATGTTTCGTTTTCTTGTTCGGCTGTAGGTCATCGTCGAACTCCACCATGCGCGGGCTCGCCAGCTCCATCGACAGAGAGCGCGTTGTACGCCGTCCTCATCTCCGACTGCGCGTGCTGCGCGATGTGATGAAGCAATGAAGCGTATCGCGTAGAGAGAGAGTGAGGTGAAGCGAGCAGCGTGAAGCGTGAAGCGTGAAGCGTGAAGCGGCACGATGACGCCAGAGCGCGGCATCCATGCATGAAACATCGCCGGCGACCTCTCATCTCGTCGCCAGACAGCAATCTCCACGCCTGGACACGCTGTTTGCCTTTTTGGTTGTCTGCGATTCAGCCTTCGAACTTCACACACCGCCAGCAATCGACGCAGCCTCGCCCGGCGCGAAACATCCCCGATTACAACTTCGACCGAGCACGAGCACCATTTCACCATCCAGATCCAGCTCAGATACCGAGAGCATACCATCCTTTGCGGAGACCATGGCGGCTCCGCTGCCGAAGCGAATTATCAAAGAGACAGAGCGTCTGCAGAATGAACCAGTCCCAGGCATCTCGGCCATGCCTCATGATGATAATGCAAGATACTTCGACGTGATGGTCGAAGGGCCAGGCGGCAGCTGTTACGAGGGTACTTTGGCGCGCTCATGTGAATCTCAATGAGGACCTCATACTGACCTCGTCTCAGGCGGTGTCTTCAAGCTTGAGCTGTTCCTTCCCGACGACTATCCCATGTGTCCTCCAAGAATACGATTCTTGACCCGCATCTACCACCCAAACATCGATCGACTTGGAAGAATCTGCCTTGATGTACTGAAGAACAATTGGTCACCAGCTTTGCAGATACGGACCATCTTGCTCAGTATACAGGCGCTCTTAGGCGCCCCCAACCCAGAGGATCCTCTAAACGAGGCTGTTGCGAAGCAGTGGAAAGTAAGAGGCCTTGAGAAGCGTCATAGGCATGGCACATATTGACACTTCGTTTTAGGAGAACCAACCCGAGGCCATCAAGACGGCTCGCGAATGGACCAAGCTGTACGCGCAGCCTGATCAGTGAGGAACCGGAATCCCGTTGCGGCAGATTCACGAGCATTGACATGGTAGACTGCCTTCACATTCTGGCCAGCTCTACAGCTTTCGACGAACTGCCTGACAGGGACTGCATGATATCAACGACCAAGCGATTTGACTTACAATGGGTGATGCGGAAGAGATGCGTGGCTGCATTGGCTGCATTAGATAGCATACTTTTGAGCGTGAGAGATATGAGGGGCCCAGCGCCGACGGCTGGATTGAAGCTGGCATTGAATTATTTCTTCTTTGAGTATCTCAAAAGGCACTCTTGTTCGATAAGGTATCATGCTCCTCAGCTACTGATAATGGTGCAGACACGAGGATTCGATTTGCGAGACCGTAGCGAAGCTCGGCACAGCCATGACGGCACGCGATAGGAGGAGCGAGGTCAGTCGCCGCCGTCGTGAAAGAGCGTGAATAATGTCGCCTACCCAGAAACCATTTCTACGGAGCGATCGAGGAATGATTTCGTGAACCACAGCGGTGGGCAAGCCAGCTCAGGCTCCTTCCGTTTGGGGAATTACAAACGGCTTTGCATGTGAGCTTGACACAAAAGTGGAGACCCTGAATTCTGCTCAGAATCTCAAAGCGGTTGTCATTTCAGCTCGCCCTCACTTCGCCTTTCTCCCTGCGGACGAGACTTTCTCCCTCCCACGACGGCCGCGAAACAACAAAAACCAACAGATCACGCATCTCGGCATTCACCAGAAGTCGCAGGCGGCGGCCTCAATCGCCCACTTAGCCCATGCGCGGACCTCGCTATATGTGTTACGCAAGAGCGCGCCGTTACAATGTTCGCACTTCCACAGGCGATTCTATCGCCTGATGTCATATCAAGTGAGTTCCATCTACCGGCCGGATGTTCACCCAAGACAGCCTCACTTCTGATCTTGAACCCTTACGCTGACACCACCTTAGACAAGAAAGTCTCGCCAGTCAGCGATTACAAGCAGAACATGGCGGAGCCCACACTGAAGAAGAAGAAATCATGGTTTGGTCGTAAGGCAACCGAGATGCATGCCAACGGCAATGGACTGACCATTGACCAGGGCGCGCGAACGACACTGACAATGATGCGCCACCGGTACCAACAATGCCTGGCACAGCGCGATCGTCTGACGACACTCAAGGATCAACTCTAGTTGGGCCGGACTCGGCGCGAACAAGTGAAGAATTTGAGCTCAAGGTAAGCCCTTCATCCCTTCATGAAGGCATCGGCAGCCGAAGTGTCAAAGACCATTGCAGCAGCGGTGATGTCGGATCAATCAGACATGGCCTCGTAAACGAGATGGTGGCGACCTGGAATGACAGGTCTTCCGACAATCACAGCCGCATTACTGACCTTGCACAGAAGGGCAAAACAGTTTGGCCATTCTTTCGAAGTCCTAAGCCTGACTCCGGTCGAGCTCTGTCCAGCCCTATCAGCGGCCATGACCTCCTCAGAACTGATAGCGAGATCTCGGTCACGAAGACAACAGCGGTTGAGACTGGACGACCACGATCAAAGAGCAGTGTGAAGCTACCACAGGCCTACTTTCCTGGCGAAAGCCCCACCGTTGACCAGAGTGCCGTGGGCGCGACGGATACGAATACGCTCAGCGGCAATACGACGCAGATATCAGCTGGCAGGATGCGGTCCAAAAGCACACCAAGACGACCAGAGCTCCAGATTCAGACAAATCACAGACCGCACGTGGCTACTGCTGGACAACACAACATCGATCAGACCCATGGATCAAAAATTTCATCGTCACTGAAATCGCTACCTCCAATGGACTTTGGAAGGCACCCCGATGAACGAATGAAAAGCTCGCCGAAGCGTTTGGAAATTGCAGCAGACTCCGCATCCCCTTCCGCGACCGCTCGGCTCTTAGACAGTCCTTCTGTCGCTTCTTCCATGCATGGTTTCGCACCCGCTACACCATCCTCCTTGCGCACCGTCAGTACGCCTACTACAGCTGGTCACGTTCCTCCAGATCCAGAGGACGACTTTTCCACTTTTCTGAGGGTCCAAGAGTCGCATAATGCCACGAAGAGATCCTCCATCGCATGTGAGCCACGTCTCCCGAGAGACGAGGTAGCCACTTTCAGTCAGAGTCCTGTCAAAATTGCGGCGCAAAGGCCAGGACGCAAGATCAGAACGGAGAAGAAAGTCGTGATGCAAGGCGGCTATACCCTTGATCAATACGTTTCTTCAGTCGACCCGGATTCACCAGGACTGCCATCGACTGATTTGGCAGACCATGATCCCGAAGCATGGGAAAAATGTATTGAGAACGCGAAGCATCAAATCCAGCTCGATCTGGAGCGAGAACAAAAGCTCGCAAGGGAACTTCTCGATGGCGATGCCGATGCCAGCAATCACGCCGCTTACGACGAGAAACGCAACGCCTACGAACATTTTAAGAACGACAATTTGATCAGAATCGGTGAAAATCTTGCATCATGTGCGAGTCACTACCGCGGTTTAGAATTGAAGGAACACAATGAGACCGAGACTTGCTACCGGATACTTGGAAGTGAACTACGGGAGATGCATGTTGAGAAGGATGTTGGCAGCAAGATGGAAGGACTTTTGAACAGATTCTTGAAGAAAGCTACGACCGGCAAGAGCGCCTCAACGACACCCACACAGCCGCGAACGGTTCCACGGAAGTCCTCGCTGTCGCACCTAGCGCACATGCTACATTTGTCGCCAAAGCCGTCGTCAGAAGGAGCTGATGTCTCGCGCGCAATGGGATCATTCGTCGAAGCCGAAGAGGACGTGGACGAAAAGCGAGATCCGGGACTCCGAGACGATTTCGATGGGAGCTCGTCTTTCGCCGCAAGCAGCATTGGGGAAGATGAGATGACAGGCTTGGGAATCACAACTGTTGATACCTGCTCTTCTGAAGGCAGTGGAACTCCGTACGCAGCTTACCGCGATGACCCGACCAAGACGATATCGCCTCCGTCTATCAAGCCGCCATGGGAGACATCGCACTTCAGCCTGTGCAACCCTGGTCCAGCGAGCGTCGTCGCGCAGATTCGCAAATTCAAGCGTGGCAGCGGAATCATGACCGCTACATCGGAGTGTGGCGAAATTTGCGAAAGAGATGCGGATAATTATGCAATCGATGAGAGTCGGTCCGTGTGGACAATGCCAAGGCCTCCATCGCGACGCAGCATCCATAGCGGTGACACCGAGTACGCAGACAACGAAGATTGGGAGGACGTGGCAGACGATCTCGTCGATGAAGTCAACGCTGCTGGAGCCACGTCTCCTTCATATCACCCATTCGATGACGAAGGCATTGATGCATCAGCCCAAAAAGCAGCAAGCACTATTACAGCAGCGCGAGATCGTGGAAGCATCTTGGTGATCGACCGCAATCCAACATTTGAAGGCGCTGTGGTCTCTCGCAGCGCTTCAAAGCGCCAGGACATGTTCAAAAGGTTCGAAGACGTCAGAGAACGCAGACAGGCTCGCCAAGCCGCAAACTCAGCACAGCTCGTTCATCCAGCGATTCGAGACCAGTCTGGCGCTGCTCCGACACCTACAAGAAGCGCCCACGCCACTATTCAGAGACTGATGGACGAGGAGTCGCCGGCAATACCGCCCAAGAGTGCTCTGCGGATCACACCTCCCAAGTATGGCGGCCGGATCTCGCCAGGCAAAGGCTTCACCCCGGTCAAAGACCAGCTTGCACAGATGGCTGGCAGCAACAACCTGAACGCATCGCCTTTCCCATTCCCTCGACCGGACAGGCTTGCGCCAAGCGTTGCCACCACGCCTTCTGAACGAGCATCCACCACAGCCCAAGCCGACGACGATCAGTATCAGTATCTTGTCAGCTCACAGTCACCGCTTGAGGAACAAATCGACACCATGGTCGACAAATGGAACAAGGCCACGCCGGACATGTCTAGTGAACCGTTCGGACAACCAGAAGACTCCAACACTTCTCAAGCCAACATCTCTGATCTTCAACAACTTCGCCACAAGCTCGGACTCCCCTTGCTACAAGCAAAGAGCGACGCCGACCGACCACATCCAAACCACCCCTACGTCTGGGACACCATCAACATCATGTGCTTCGGCGTCCACAATCCCTCCAGTCGCGAAAGCACCTCAACCCTAACGACCATCAGCTCCGAAGAAAGCCCCCTCGCTCGCCTCAGCGCTCGCACCAATCCCACTGCATCTACTCCCCCCCAACCCCAACCCTCCACCTGCAAAGCCAAATCCTGCTTCTACTGCGGCTGCACCTGCTGCTACTACGCCGAACAAGCCCAAATCGCAAAGCTCCCCTTCACGCGCGACTCCGACCTGAAACTCCGCATCGAGCGCGCACGTCAGCACGTCTCTTTCCTCCGAGAACATTCCGGCGGGAATGGTATCGAGAATTACGATACGAATCTTGAGTGCTCGTCCTGCGAGAGGGTGTTTTGTCCGGAGCATGGGGATATTTGCGAGTTTTTGAATTGTCGGGAGCCGATTTGTGGAGTTTGTCGCGAGGTTATGAATGGGGGGTATTGTGAGGGGCATTTTTTGGTCAGTCCTAGTCGGGATTGAGGATGGGGGATGATGAGAGAGGTGGGATGAGGGTTTTGATTGGGTGGATGATTTTTTGATGCGCGAGTTGGAGTTGGAGGGATTTTGGGGAGGAGAAGAGTAGGAATGAGTGAGACCATCCAATTGAAGACGAATTTTTTTTTGGTGAAGATTTGACCTATTACCCACCCCTACAGGCTGTGCTATTGGATTCCGTACGCCGAGTCTCGATTCCAGCCAGCGAGCTGTGAAGCGCTTCAACCTGTGACGCATAGCTGAGGTCACATAACTCTTGACAGCGCACGTGACTCTCGGCAAAACCAGGGAAATATTAATACCTGTTCTCACCGCCTTTTTAGATAGAACTAGTCAATCAGAACTACTACAATAGACACCCTTAAAAACAGTGTTACAATATAACCAATAGGAAGGGTGCTTAACAGTTATAAGCCCGGGTTTTACCCGCGGTATTAGAGACTAAGAAAGGAGGAAGAATTTTCTATTCTACGAGCAACAATATTAGCAAAAGGAAATCAGTTTCTACGACACTAAACAACTAACCAAAGCACCTACCATCTCTTTAAGATTATTATAACATATCTTTAATAATAGCCCTCTTATTAGCTAGCCGTCTTAGTAGTACTAAATATATTACCCTTCGAGGCCCGAACGACTAGGATCGATAGTACGAGCAAACTAAGACTTATCTAACAGGTTACGAGACCTAGCTATATACTAATCCGTATGCTACGCTGCCTATAGAGCTAATTTAGCCTGCTCTACTAGTTATAGATAAAGAACGCCTATAGGACGACTAAGTCTACTAATAGGCAATCCGTCTAGAAAAGGATTTCTATAATGTCTATATAGCTAAGTTTAATAGGTTTAGAACGGCCCGCAGCAAGACCCTCGAGTACCTAGCAACTATAATAGATATCCGCTATTACTTAGAGATTACTAATAACAATAAGCTATCCCTACTAACCCTTCGATTAATTATAATACGACTAAAGGATAAGCTAGCGCTAAATACTTAGTAGCAAAGAACTAACTTAGTTAAAGAGCTAAATCGTTTAATTAACTTAAGGCAGGTAAAGGATCCTAAGTAGTAGTATAAGGAATAGCTTAATCTATACAAAATTATAAAAAGGATATAGCATATAGAACTTAATAATATAGTTGTTTACCTCTGTACTGCAGTAGCTAATATAGATGAAACCTATAGCAAAGGACTCTATATAATGCACTAGGCCTTACTAAATACTACCTACTTCTATTAACTAATTAGTATAGTGCGAGACTATGCCCGAAACATATTAGGACTATCGACAAAGCGAGGAGCCTTATTTAGAATCACCTACGATATAGAGACTAGTAAATCTAATGCCGCCCTTTAAGGAGCCTCCGAAAACAAGGACAAGAAGGACAAGAAAGGCACCTACACTCCAAAATCTTGTATAGAACTCACTAGCGTTAGTAAGAAGAAGGCATATAAGAACCGTAGCAAGTGCTTAGTAGTTAACTACCGCCTTCGAGAGAAGGTTAAGGAGAAGGATAAGGATAGCAAATAGCAAGGAAAACTGAACTACTTTAAAGGCTACTTACGCCGAAACAAGGACTTCTATTTAAGATAAGCCAGCTTCTATAAGGACCTACTAGCTATCAAGATTGCTTAGCAGCATTATAGATATAGCAAGACTAATAATAATACACCTAACAAGTTGTTACTAGCCTGCTTCTTTAGCCCTAACACTCTATTATTATCCTTTGTAGGAACAACTAGATATAGACAGGTTAGCATAGGAATATCTATTAGAAAATAGAACCCTTTTAATAGACTAATGTATAATAGTAGATCTAATTGCTATATTATTAACTATCTAGGTCGATTTAACTTTGCTCCTCTTTTCCTACTATTAAGGTCTATAGTAGCAACCGGAACAGGCTATAATAGGGTCGTAGCTATTAGAAAGGCATTATTCACGGTTAAGGCTGTTAGTAGCAGGCCCCTACAGATTGAACTAGGAGAATGCCTATACATTCCAAACTTCTATACTAATATAGTCGGTAGAGCCCTATTCTTCTAGCGAGGATACAAACATTAGGAAATTAATAACACCCTATACGACCCTTAGTAGAAGCCTCTAGTTAAGTTTATTAGACTAGATAATTGGATGCTATACTTTAACATAGTCAGTATAGTAGATAACACACCTTTACTAACCGAGTAGCTAGCCGATACGGAAGGTCGACTACTTAAATACCTATTCTAACTCCTATTAGTATACGCAACAGCTCGCCGCTCCGCACGTCTACTACTATCGAGGCAGCTTACTCTTTAGTAGATACATAAGATCTTTAGGCACCTAGGTATAAAGCGAGCAGAAGAGCTAGTTAATAGGGTTAATAGAATAACACGGGACCTCTTATATAGAAATGAGGTCCTAAGAACACTACTTTGTCTAGTATGTATATAAGCTAAGGGTAAGAAGCTTATATCTAGAAGGCTACGAAAGTATAATATGTCAATTCTTATACTATATAGCTATATTGCTACTAATCTAATGCAACTGGATCTAGCCTACAATAGCGACTAGTATATCTTCTACGTATACGACCTAAATACTAGACTTCACTTTATATAGATAATAAGTAATCGTTAGGAATTAACACTCCTTTAGTGCTAGAACTAGTTAGCAACCTTCGTACGCAGCATTAGCAGAGATATCATCTGTTTGTTATCTAATAATAAAGGAGGCATATTAGGCTTTCGGTTTCGATCCTATCTACGTAATAACTATACCACTTAGAGGCTAACAGCACTATACACGTTAGAACAGGACCTAGCTAAGCGAGCAGGCCGCACTATTATTAAGGTAGCTCGAGCTTTGATAATACATACTAGGTTCCTATACAGCTTATAGCTAGAAGCAGTTTATGCAGCAACCTTCCTAGCTAATAGGTTACTAAGATTACGCAATACTAACCTACTAATGCGTACACTATACGAGATTAGGACTAGATATAAGCTAAATATAGCCTACATCTATCAGTTTAGAGTAAGAGCATATCTAGTAATCTACGGTACCGAGATAGCTAACGGCAAGAGGAAGGCTATACTGCTAAATACTATAAAAGTGGCCTTACGAACACATATTAGATACCTCTATAGATACGAAGGACACTCTATCTATCGGATTTGGGTACCTTTACGAATAACGGTACTACGCACAAGAGATGTTGTATTTAATAAGACTAGGTTCTATAATAGACATAACGCTAACCTAGGCGTTACTATAACTAACTAAGAACTAGCTTAATTTAGTAATCTCGAAGAGCTACAAGCACTAGCCTCGGAGCATCAATTTAACGATCTTCGAGAAGGACACGACACACTACTAGACCTAGTGCGGTTTGGAACTAAGGGGGTGGATACACTAATAGGACCTAGCCGGCTTATAATAGTCGACCCTACAAGGCTAGTAGATAAACCTATTAGACAAGAACTACCTTAATCATCGCCGATACTACTAACTAAGCTGCAGCTCGTATAGGTGCCGAAGAGGCTACGTTTGGATCTTACTAATTAGAGATTACATAAGCCTAAACTAGGGGAAGTACCTACCTATTAATAGGACTTTCTAATTAACCTACGCGAAGCACCGCAACCGCGTAATAATATGCTAAATAGATTAGTAGACCTAACTATTAATTAGCAACCTAAGACTAAGAACGATGCTAGCAATTATAGCCCTACTAACAATATAGACGTACTAGGTTACGTAGACGACATAGACATAAACCTACTACGAGCGGAACTAGCTGAATTGCTAATGCCAATTAAAGCAGCTAATGTTTTACATCGTTACTTACTAAACATAGGAGGGCCGCATTATCGAGCTAATAATCCGAATAAACGATAGCGAACAGCCGCTATCTATCGAGCCGGCCGTTATTATATTAGCGATCGAGAACAAGCGAGAAATCTCCTACTATTTAGCAGCCTTTGTATAGCGGCTAAGTACGAAGCCCGATTAACGTATGCATTAGTATTAAGTAATTAAGCCGATAGCAATCTACCGCCGCTTCTACGAGACGAACACGATTCAAACCTTATACCGAAGGTGTTAGACCTGCCTATAGAGCTACGCAACTAGCGCTAGGTATTAAAGAGCCGGTTTAAAGAGCATTAGATATATACTGCAAGAGTAGAGTTTAATAAGGCCTTAAAGATAGGTACATTCAAATAGGTAGATATAGAGGAACTAATAGACAATATACACCTTCTGCCTCTTACCTAGGTATTTAAATACAAGAGCGATGCTAATAGACGGCTAGTTAAGTTTAAGGCTAGAGTATATACAAGAGGAGACCTATAGAAGAACACCTACTTAGACACCTATGCCTTAACACTCGCTGTACGCGTGTTTCGAGCCCTTATAGCTATTACTACTAGGTTCGACCTTAAAGCTAAGCAAATAGATACAGTTAATGCCTTCTTAAATGCTAGCCTACTATATATACTGTACTTGAAGCTACTAGAAGGCTTTGAACGGAAGGGTATAGTACTGCAGCTGCTTTAGGCTCTCTATAGCCTATAAGAGTTACTAAGGTTATAGTACAATTACTTTACTACTATATTAGAGAAGCTCGGTATATAGCTAGTCGATAATGTCGACTGCCTATATACAAACCCCGATAAGCATATATTTATCTTCTTCTATATAGACGATATAGTGCTATTATATTACCGTTAACACAAATAGAAGGCTATAGACCTAAAGCAACGGCTAATAAAGGAATACGAACTAAATAACCTTAGTCTACTATTATAGTTTCTTAGTATTTAGGTTGTGCGTAACCGTAATTACCGAAAGCTATAGCTATTATAGAAGGCCTATATAGAAAAAATGGGTTAGCGGTATAGAATTGACGCTAGAACTAGAAGAAGGGCAGACTTACTATTACTAACTAGATACGAGCCCTATAAGAAAACAGACGGTAAGAAGGCCTTACAACACCTAGATTTAATAGTAGTACTAGCCTATTAAAGCCGTATAGGATCGCTTAACTTCGCAGTAGTACAGACTAGGCCTAACATAGCTAAGGCTATATTACTACTATCTAAAGCCCTTCAAAATCTACGACAAGAAGACATAGCTACTACAAATTAGTATATTAAATACCTCCTGCAAACGAAGGACCTATACTTAGAATACAATACCGACGGACTAGCAATTATAGCGTATTCTAGCTATTAGTTAAATGAGTTCTACGGAGCTTCCGATGCCTTATATAGCGACTATAAAGGCACTAGACAGTTATTAGAAGGATGGTTATTTAGCCTGTTTAATAGCCTAGTCGACTAGAAAGTAGCAAGACAATTAACCGTCACTAAATCTACGACTAAGGCTAAGCTGCTAGCCGTATTACATACTAGCTTAGAGCTAATCTAGTAGAAGCGATTCTTTAACAACATTAGTCTTACATTAGACACAGTACCTATGCTATATTGCGACAACACCTAGACTATTCGTATTATTAAGGCTAATGCTAGTAAACTAGACACTAAGCTTAGGCATATAGATATCTACTAGTGTTAGCTCCGCTAAGAACATAAAGCAGGCCGAATATAGTGCGAATACCTAGCTATATAGGACATACTAGCTAATAGACTTACTAAACTCTATAGACTACAGAACTAACAGAGGTTTATATAGCAACTTAGGCTATTAAGGCTACTAGCTAATAAACTACACGAAGACAACTCTATATAATAGGTAGTAGTAGCCCCCTATTTACTATTAATTGTAACTAAGTTAATTAAGTATACCTTTATCGATTAGCGCTAGCAAAAGTGTCTAATACGATAGCGACGACTAACTAGGGTAGCGGATCTAACCTTACTTCCTAATACGTTATTGTCGCCTATATTATTACTTCGAACGTTACTTCTACTAACTAATAACAAGTCTGCGGCGATTGTATTAGTGCTAGTAATAATAGTGTAGTAGTCTTAGCTAAGGGTAGCGTCCTTAGTTAAGTTACCTATCCTAATTTATTAAATCTGTTTAACTAATGTATATCCTTACTTAATCCTTTGTCTAATTAAATAGACGCTACCTATACGATTAATCTAATAAACGATAGTAATAATATAAAGGGCTTAGTTTAATTTAGTTGAACTAACTTTACTATACGATACGAGTACTTAGATAAGGCTTAATAGTGTCGGTCTATACTTAGACTATATAGGAAGACAATAGTTCCTAGTAATAGGGACTATATATAAAGGTACATATACAGTCCGGATTATGTAACGATATCCTTCTAGGGTAATCGGGGTATGAAATAAGACTCTCTTATATATAGTGTAGATTTAAACTAATTTTTTGTTGTTTTAATAAAGTACTATATAAGAAGTTGAAAAGATTAATTTTTCTTTTGTTTGCATATAAAGAAGCATTAACTACCTTGCCCAAAATGGAAGGCAAGCCTAGTTTGCACAAGCTAAGGGGGTGTATAACGCATAGCTGAGGTCACATAACTCTTGATAGCGCACGTAACTCTCGGCAAAACCAGGGAAATATCAACACCTGTTCTTACCGCCTTTTTAGATAGAACTAGTCAATCAGAACTACTACAATAGACACCCTTGAAAACAGTGTTACAATGTAACCAATAGGAAGGGTGCTTGACACAACCGCTCGTGAAGGATCTCACTATCCACTTTGAAGCAAGAAAAATCTACGAATGCGAAGCTCGTGTCTCGATGTCTATCCTTCGGTCTGTGCTGCTGCTGACTTCTCTTCTCAAGGACTTGATATCAAGTGCTCGTGGATACGAAGGTCACTTGCTATTGGGTTGCCGGTCACGGCTTCGAAGTCCTGGTCGTTTCGCGTTGAGATTTCGCTACGTATAGCTGCTAAGAGTCCTCCTAATCAAATCAAAGTGAGACAGATTCTTGGGAGGATATCTCCAACTGGTTATCTGGACTGCTGTCGGATCGGATTCGATCGTCGTGTGGCAGGTGGGAAAGTGAGTTGGTCGTGTAGGACACTTGCATAGCGATGGCAGCTCTGCTCACCTCCTGAAGTCTCATCTCCCCAGCTCATCCATTTTGCACGTGTCAAGTCGTGCCAGATTTGCCCATTCGCGCTGCCAGGCTCTGCTCCATGTCAAGACTTCGACTGGCCAGCATCAGCCTGTGTGTTCGAGCTATGCAGATTGAACATCTCGGTGCTGTGCCTCCAAGCAGCCTCGACCACCTCTTCAACCGTGATACCTTTCAAGCCAGCTACGATGCTCGCTACCTGTCCAATTGCACAGCTCTCATTCCTCTCCTTCACCATCAGGCCCAATTCGAACTTGTCCTTCTTCTTGCTTGGCGGAAGCGGCACAGGACTGGGATATTTCTTAGCCAAGTCTCCATTCGGATTGATGTATCCCCAAGGAGCATCAGTCTCGAGCTGTAGCCGATCGAGAGGGATCGCAGCCACCATGTCCAGATGTTCTTTGGGGGCGAAGGAGAAGCCGTTCACACTGACGTGAAGATTTGGTGGATGAAATTGATTCAGCAGGCGATCGATGCCGGGCCGGTGGCCAAGCCTCAGCGACGCCATCTTGACTGTTCATCAACCATCGATATACGATATACGCCCTTCAGTCTGCGGTACCGAAAATGCTTTGATAGATGGGAGAAAGGGAGACAAGTCCCATCGAAGAGAGTGGTATTTCACCTCACCAACACGCGCTTGATCCTTGTCGAAGTCTGTTCCCCCTCGTGATCTCGCGCCATCATCGTGATCTCCCACTGCCATCTGCACTCGCAATGTGACAATGGCCACAGCCGCCGACGATGCAGTCGCCGTCGCCGTCGCCAACCCGCCCGTCCGCCTTTCGCTGCCTCTCGAATTCCAGCAAGACATATTCCACGAACTGCGCGACGAAGACGTGCTGCTAGTGCTCGCGCGCGGACTGGGTCTGCTCCGCCTTGTCACGAACCTTCTACACAGCTACGATGCCGCCGGCCACAATCTCGTCATCCTCGTCGGCGCAGATGATCGCGAGAATGACTGGATTGGCGAGTCGCTGGCAGAGCACGCGGCGGTCAGCGGCAGCCCAAAATGTCGAGGCATGCAGCTGGTCAACACCGACATGACCAATGTTGGGTCGAGAGAGAAGATGTACAAGGGAGGAGGCATATGCAGCATCACAAGTCGAATTCTGATTGTCGACTTCCTGTCTGGTCTCCTTGATCCTGCGACTGTGACTGGCTTGGTGATACTTCATGCCGATCGCGTTGCAGCCACGAGCTTGGAGGCGTTCATCGTGCGAATCTATCGGCAGAAGAATAAGAAAGGCTTCCTCAAAGCTTTTTCCGACCAGCCTGAACCTTTCACAACAGGCTACCAGCCTCTCACGAGTATCCTGAGAAATCTATTCTTACGCAAGCCGATTCTATATCCACGATTCCATGTCACAGTCGCAAAGAGCTTGGAGGGGAAGCGCAAGGCAGAAGTGATAGAGCTGGAAGTGCCGATGACAGATGCTATGCGGGACATTCAGAATGCTGTGCTGGAATGCGTCGAGGTCAGTATATCAGAATTGAAGAAGATGAACACCGGCACGATTGAGATGGAAGACTGGAACCTAGATTCCGCACTGCATCGCTCATTCGATTCGATAGTGCGAAGACAGCTAGATCCGGTGTGGCACAGAGTCAGCTTCAGGACGAAGATGATTGTTCGAGACTTGACCATGCTGAGAACCATTCTCCATTCGCTGTTGACTCTCAATGCTGTCGATTTCAACAAGTATCTGGATACCGTACTTGCTGCTTCAAGCCCGCCGCCGAACTCTTCAAGAAAAGATGTCTCGCCTTGGCTGTTTTTGGATGCGGCGCACACTCTATTCGACTCTGCGAAGAGAAGAGTCTACACCGGCAAGATTGCAGATGGACCTATTGCAACAGCCGAGCAAGATGGGCTGCATCCCGTTCTCGAGGAGCTTCCAAAGTGGGCACTCTTGGCAGAGATCCTGGAAGAGATCGAGAGAGACACATACTTCAATCCACGCCCGGATGATGAGTCAAGCGGTGCCATTCTGATCATGTGCGCCGACCAGGGTACTTGCCGGCAGCTGCGAGAGTATCTACAAACCATGAGACAAGAAGCAGAGGAGGATCGGCGAGCAAGAGAGGCAGATGAGGTCGATGATGGAGAGTCGAAAGTCAGCGCTCGATATATGATGCGACGCAAGCTGCGATACTACTTGCAATGGAAACGGGACTTTGCAAAAGTCAGCAACAGTCTTTTCGCCGCGAATGAGAAGGAGATCGACGGCACTGCGAAGAAGCTGCATGGACCACAGGCAAATCGTGGTCGAGCACCGCCGAACAAGCGGAGACGAGTCAGAGGAGGGGGTGACGTTGGTGCTGGTCCAGGTCGGACGGCAATGGGCGCAGTTGGAGTCGCAGGCGACAAAGACTCACACATCCAGGCACTAATCCAAGATCTCGACAGGACGAACTTCACGGAGGATAACACAGCAGCAAAAGTGGATCTTGGCGCAGATCCGCTCGATGATATGGACGACTATTACGAACTTTACGATATGAAAGACCTTGTGCTAATACACCCTTACGACGGCGACATGGACGACCATCTGCTTGAGGAAATTAAGCCAAGATATGTCATCATGTACGAGCCGGATGCGGCATTCATCCGACGAATAGAAGTGTACAGAAGTAGCCACAGCAACCGTCAAGTGCGTGTGTACTTCATGTACTATGGTGGTAGTGTAGAAGAGCAGCGCTACCTGTCCGCGGTACGAAGGGAGAAGGATTCCTTTACGAGACTGATCCGCGAGCGTGGAAACATGGCCATGACTTTCACCCACGATTCTGACAACATGGACCCTCAGGAATCATTCTTGCGCACAGTCAACACCAGAATCGCTGGCGGTGGGCGATTGACGGCCACTGCTGAACCCCCGCGCGTAGTCGTCGATGTTCGAGAGTTCCGCAGCAGTTTGCCATCACTCTGTCATGGCCGCAACATGGTCGTCATCCCATGTATGCTGACAGTGGGCGACTACGTGCTTACGCCCGATATCTGCGTTGAGCGAAAGAGTATCGGCGATCTAATCTCTTCCTTCAATAATGGCCGCCTTTACAACCAGGCCGAGACTATGTTCCAGCACTACAAATCTCCTATGCTGCTGATCGAGTTCGATGCCCAGAAAGCCTTCACGCTCGAGCCTTTTGCCGACCTCACGTCTTCTGTCGGCAGCAAAGACATGGTGGGCACAGATCTACAGTCGAAGCTGGTCCTTTTGACACTGGCATTTCCCAGGCTTCGCATCATCTGGTCATCTTCGCCATATCAGACGGCAGAGATCTTCGAAGAGCTCAAGAACAAGCAGGATGAGCCAGATCCCATCAAGGCTGTGCAGACTGGCCTTGAGAATGGAGAAGATCCTGAGACAAGGACTTTTAGCCAGGTTCCGCAAGATATGCTGCGCTGTGTGCCGGGTGTTACCAGCAAAGCCCTCAATAAGCTGATACTGGAGTTTGAGAATGTGCTTGACGTGGCGAATGCGAGAGAGACTATGCTCGCGGACTTGATTGGGAAGGAGAACGCGAGACAGATCAGAGCTTTCTTCGATCGAAGTGTCTGGGAAGATGGTGGCGCCGAGTGAGCTGTCACAGTCTTACTTCATGCTCACTCACGTCACAAGAGCTCGGGCCAGCTGGTTGAAGCATATATCATTAGAACCACTTCAAGCACTCAACATTCTTACAGTTCTCATCTGCATTCATGATCACTACCCTACTGAGTCTTTCAGATGATACTTGCGCTTACCACGCTCCAGACGCCACGAAACGCCATCGTCACATCACACTCTCTGTCACGCAACCGCAAGATAACAAGCGGCTTCGTCGAAATTGTCAGCGCCACGCTCCCAATACGAAGTTCGCCTTCGACGACTGCAAGCCATCAGATCGAATCGCGCTGATTGCTTCCTTCAACACACCTTGTGCACACTATGCCTGTCCTAAATGTGGTCAACGTCGACCACGTCAGGACATCAAGCCCGCAAGAGATTGAAACTGCATCGAAGCATAGAGGCCATCCACGCGCGACCATTGAAACAGACGAGGAAGGTGACACCGCCAGCTATGGTCATCCTCTTGCCAGGAATGGAATGACCTTGACTGTACCGAAGAACGAAGAGGAGAGCACCGAGAAGAAGTCCACAGCTCCGGCACGCGTTACCAGGACAGATCCTGTACCTACTTCGTCAGCTACTGAGCATCTCGGGTCCACTTCCCAGCGCCCAGAGACATCGACAAGAGACGGCTTCTGGAAGAGAACACAAAACGATCGTAATGCCATCGAGACATACATCGTAGACAAAAAGGGCGTTTCCAAGGACGGAACTGCGACTGGAAAGGCACGCCTCATCGCCAAGCAAGACCGTTTCGCTCAGCTCAGTCTCTGGTATGATGAGAAGCTTAACCAGCTGGAGAAGCGGAAGGGCAAGGTTACCGGCTCCGCCAGATCTCTGTTTCCCCAATTCTACAACAAAATTGACGAAGATGTTTGGCTTCGGAGGACTTTTTCGGCTTGGTTGGACGGCGCGGAGGAAGGCAAGATCAATAAGCCTGACATTGCTCGCTCCAACGCAAACTATCCTACCCCCTTGACTCAGTTGGGGCGTCATTATGATGATCAAGACCAAGATGACGAGGAGATGGTCATCAAGCCCGAGCCTGAAGATGAAGATGATGAAGAAGACTATCGTACAACCTTCTACAACAACAACAACAGAAATCTCACCTTCGGCTGCGCGGTGCCTCAACGCACAGCTGCCATACAAGCCAGCGCCCATGGCAAAATGCGCGACCCCTCAACACCAAACAGCGACAAGGCATACTTTACACATCATCATCATCACATCAAACGGAGACGAGAGCGTGAACCCTCAACGCCAGACAGCGACGACAAGACACATGCCATCAAGCGAAGGCGGGAGGCAACGACTTCTGAGAGGGACGAAGATTCTCCATCATCATCATCAGAAGAAACCTTTGCCGTTGAACAACCACCAAAGAAGGAGAAATTTTGGGCTGTGGGCGGCATCAACGCCCACTTCAACGGAGCCAAAATCACGCCGCAGAAGCTCGAAGGCAAGATCCCTGGGGGTAAAGTGGTCAAGGTGGTGAGGCGAGCGTGGGTTTGGGATGAGAATGGAAGAATGAAGGTTTATCCGCCTTTTTAAGTCAGGATTTTTTTTTTGTGGGGGGAGGAGGGGGAGAGGTGGGAAGATAGGTGATTATATATCGTGGGGAAGAAAGCAGACTACTTACTCTGCGAGTCAAGTGGGTATGGGATGAGAATGGCAGGATGGGGTGTTGTTTAGCGCCTCGAAGGAAAGCTAGGTATCTGTAATCATAACATATTGAGGAGAAAGAAACAAGCAGACTAAACTACTCTGAGCGTCAAGTGCTCACTCATAGATCTGAAGAGAAGCCTGATACTCTCTCTCCCATACTGAAAGTCTGTAGCTCTTACCTACCACAACGGAAGTTTCAGGAGTCGATCAATTCATTCCTTCCTTCATTCATACTGCACAGAAAATGCAGATGCTTCTGCATCTTTCAAATTCCCAATCTTCAGTCTCCGCCTCTGCTCCCCTCCCCTCCCCTCCCCTCCCCCATCTCACTTCGAATTCACACAGTTCCTCCTCTCCATCCCACTCACTCCGTCTTCAAACTCCACCTCACCTCCCCATCTCACTTCGTCTTCAAACTATCCCGAATCTCAACCCTCCTCTCCTCCTCCTCCCTCCTCCTCTCAAGTTCCGCCTGAATTCCCTCTTTCCTCAAACGACTAGCTTCTTCTTCCTGAACCATCCAAACTAAAAAAAAAAGTCAGCATACTCTCTCTCCTCTCTTCTTTCACGTCAGTTAAGGGTAGAAGGGGTAATACGTACTATGCCGATCACTCCGACTCAACCTCTTCAAATTTTTCACAAAATTATCAAAATCCTCCTGTTTTCCTCTGCGATTTTCCAAACTCTTGCGTTGCAGGTCCGGGTTGTATTTTAGGAATAATTCTTCTTCGGTGGGAGAGATCCAGAGGATGAGGGCGGGGCCGCCGATGCACATGACTCCGCCGCTGGAGAGAAAAGAAAAGAAGAAGAGGGGTTAGTTGGATGGGATGGAATGGGATGGAATGGAATACTTACGCCAAAGCCATTTTGATCCAAGTGATGGATTTCATCTTTCTTTCTTTCTTTTCTCGCTCCGATTCCAGTTCTCCCGCGCTCAATTCGAAGTTTCGATGTGATATCAAGCCGTGTGATCGCTCGTCAAAAAAAAAAAGATCGATGGATGGGTGAAGTCGAAGTCGTTCTTATTCAAACATCAATCAATCGCCGAAGTTGAAGTTGGAAGTTGAAGTTCAATGATGCGCAAATGCCAAGAAACACTATTCCTATTCTAGAACCAGCCAATCCCTCCTCTCCCTTCTGTAGTCAATAAATAGAGATCAAGAAGCACACACACAATTCCAGAAACAGAACACTTTCCTCTTTCTTTTCAAATGCTATAATGAAACCTTCCTTTCTTCGCTACAATAATAAAAATACCGCACCAGCAATGTCTATCCAAAAAAAAAATAGCCCGACGACAACAACGACCATGCAAACTCGAACTCCTCAATGCTCCCTCCCCTCAAACACCATGCGAAAAGCAGGAACATGGTATCTCTCAGTCCAATAGCTTGCAAGGCAAAAAGAGCGTGCGAAACAGTACACGCGCGCGCCGGCAGTTATATACAAGTTGTTGTGGAGATAAATAGATCAAAAATCCACGATGCTTACGCTTTAACCCCCTCATTCATTACAAAGAAACTGGTGACGGTGGTGTGGTGGTGGTGGTATCTCAAAAAAAAAGAGGCCACTCCACGCCCCCCTTTTCTGTTTCTCTATTCTCGTTTCGCTTCGTCAAATTTTTTTAATAATCACTTTTTTTGTCAGTGTCATCGCCTCAGATCTTCAGAGATGTCTTTTCTTCTTGAAGCCCGGCCGGCGCTTTGGCTTGACTCCACCCGCGCCAAGTAGGCGGCAGATGTAAAGTCATGGCTTGCTTCGAAACTTGGCCGTGTTCGATCCATAGAAGATCTCAATCGGTCGAATGACGGCCTCGGTCGATCGTAACTCGGCCGCGTTGGTGCTTGATCATGATCCTGCCTGGTAATTACCGGCGTGATTGCCGGCGTGGCGGCGTTACTCGCAGACTGCGAGTACCTGGGCGGGAAGGCTCTTTCAAAGCGATCTAGATCACCCACAGACGACCGATGACCAGTATACTCTGTCCCATCCGACCCGTTATGACTTCTGGGATTATTAGTCGTTGCAGTCGCCGCCACACTTGGTGGATATATTGGTCGCATGTCCTCGTCAAAGGTATGTCGGCCCGGTGCAGTGGGTGGACTGCCGCCTCTCCTGTGTCCCTTCTTGTCTCCGTTCTCGCCTACCTTCTGGCTAACCTCACTGCTCGCAGTACTCTCAGCAAGCTTGTCAGGTTGTGGTCCAACCTTGTGTGGATCCACCTCCTTGAGATAATCGAACTTTCCTTGCCGCACTTGCTCGCGGATGATGTCGATGTCGTAAGGCATGTACATCTTCTGGTACGCCTTCGCCACGAAACGGGGGAGGAGGCATGCAATGACAGTCAAAAGGTTGATTGCCCAGAATGACAAGGCACCATAGACTTGTGGTGCAGCTTCGTAGAAGGTGTAGCCAGCGGTGAAGGAGGTGTAGACTCCGGTCCAGAAGTAGATGAGGAGAATGGAAATGCCCGTGATGAGACACATGAACCAGTCCCAGCGGTAGGTGTTCATCATAATGTAGACATTGACGATGAACACGACGGGGTTCACAATGTACGCTCCCAAGCGCTTGTAGTCATTGATGTTGCGACCAGTCTCGGATTCGAAATTGGCAACTTTGAACTGCAGGTAGGTGAAGTAGAAGGCGATCACTGATTGGTAGAAGCCGTCAAACATGTAGATCCAGAACTTGGTCTGAGTCCATTCCTTTTGCTCGATGCCACGTCGGTAAAGCTGGGGTACGGCAAGTGAGACCTTGTCATCCACATCTTGATCCAGAATACCTTGGAAGATGACCGGGAGTGAGGTAAAGGCCAAGTTGAAGAGCAGGATGTACGTGTAGTCGAAAGCATACGAGCAATCAAAGTTGGTGTAGATCTGATACCAGAACAAGGCGAAGACCCAGATGATGTTCTGTAGTAACGTTAGCGGGGGCAGGGAAGATTCAGATGGAGATGACATACCTTGTAGAAGAAGTTGGCAACACACTCGCCCATGCGCCGGTAGTCCCAACGACCATGTACGAGGAGTAGTCGGGTCAAGAAGCGGAATTGGCCAATGGCGTAATCGGAACTCATGACGGCCTGACGACCTTCTTCACCAGCGATGCCAACGCCAACGTCAGCCTCTTGAATCATGGCGACATCGTTAGCACCGTCGCCAATGGATAAAGTCATGACTTCAAGCGTGTGCTTGACAAGACCCACAACGGCAGCCTTCTGCGCAGGACTGACACGACAGCAAAGAACGGATCTGCATTCCTTGCACAGCAGCAAGAACTTTTGACGTAGCCTGTCGTCAAGCACGACCTTGAGCGTATCGCCGTCGATGACCAATGCGTGCGTGGGAGCCGGAGGTTCGTGGTTCTTTTTAGCAGCTTTGAGCTCCTCGTCTGACCCAGTCTTGCCGAAAGCCGCCAAGTGCTTGTCCAATTCTGCTTCCGCACCTGCAATGTCTTCGTCTTCAGACTTGAGCACGATCAGATCCATGTCGTTGTCGAGAAGATTGCAAGAGAACCCGATGTTGATGGCGGTCTCCACCTTGTCTCCAGTCAAGACCCAGAGCTTGATTCCCGCTTGCGCAAGCAAAGCGATGGAGTCTGGCACACCATCTTGCAATCTGTCTTCAATAGCTGTTCCGCCGATAAGAGTGAGCTCGCGCTCAATTCGGTCAGCGACGTCCTCGAGCTTGTTCTCACGATCTTGGACCGCGGCAGCCGCGAGTTCGTGGTCAACGTTCCACTTCTGGTATTCTTCCTCGCCAAGCTCCCTCTGTGCAATGCAAAGTGTTCTGAGACCTTCTCGGGCGAACATTTCGAGGTGTTCGGCTGTGGCCCTTCGCAGTTCTGGTTGTTCGCCTCTTCGCAGACGCGAATAGATGATGCTGTCGGCACCCTTGCAAAACAGGACAATCTTGCCATCCGGCATCCTTATAATGGCACTCATTCGCTTTCTGGTGGAATTGAACTCGAGGATGTTCAGGACCTGGAACTCGCTTTCTTTGCCCATGATGTTGAGGATGATGCCATCGTTCGATCGACCGATGACGGTATAGCCAACGTCTCGAGCGGTGGCAACGAGCGCAGCTTCATCGGGAGATTGCGCCTTGAACTCTATTCGCGGCGGGTCACCAGGCGTCCGTTCAGTGATGACACTGTGGCAGAGTGCGAGTGCAAGCATGAACTGTTCCACGGCCGCTTTCTGCTCAGGCCCGCTCTCGCCATCCAAGTCTGCGACATAGTCTGGCGCAACAAAGGTAAGATCCTCGTCTCGTAGGTAAGGATTGTCGTGCATCCGGCGAAGGTGCTTCAGCATGACCACTCGGTCCTCTGCAATACGCGCTCTTTCTTGAGCGGCGACTTCCTCGACATTGATTCCCTGGCGTTTCTGCATTCCAGCAAGCGCTTCCGTATATGCTTCGCCATATGGGTGGCCATTGACTGTGCACTTCTTGAACTCCATGACATTCTGCGTAAGCGTACCGGTCTTGTCGGAGAAGATGTACTCAATCTGGCCCAAGTCGTCGGATATGTTCCAAGACTTTGGCGTGCATGGGTAGTCGATCTTCTCGTAGTACATGTAGGTGTCGGAGTAGATGAAGAATGCCTGGACGGATCGCACGATTTCGAGGGAGATGTACAGTGAGATGGGGACCAAATTCTGGAATAGGATGATGGCCGCCCAGAAAGTGATGAAGCCGTTGAGACCTGGTGTGCCACCATAGCTTCCAAATTCGAAGAAGTCGAGGGAGTTGTCTCCTTCGCCCCACGTCACACCATTGACAAGTGCGGCAACCAGACACATGACGAAAAGGATGACGAAGTTGTACAGGACGTTCCAGTTCAGATCGCGCATAATCTTTGGCCGTTTGGAAGGTGTGATACCAGAGTTGAGCATGATCTTTGTGTCCTCACCCGTAAATGCCACGATTCCTAGTACCCATTCGGTGTTCCTGACCGTACAACCACGCAGGAGCAGATTGTTAATGCTCACTGGCTCTGCCATTTCCTTGGGCTCGGCGAAAGGATTCTTCATGTCGTACTGGTTCCAACGCACGACTCCAGAATACGCGTACAAATTCGCATGCGGTGGCTCACTTTCGAGCACAAAATCGGCTTGTTCGCAATCTCTCGCTCGCTTGACTTGACGACCGGAATAGAGCGCGGTTCGAACCTTCAAATTCGTCTCTCCGTCTAGATTCTTCGTTTCGATGTAGCATGCACCGTCTGCATCGCTAGTCGACAAAACGATGATGTCTGAAGGCACCTCCTCGTCATTGTATAGGCGGACAAAGTCGCCCACGCGCACATTCTTCCAATAATCTTTCTTGAAGCGTGCCTTTTCGGGCCTTGGCTTGTTCGGATTGATCAAGCTGCCGTGGAACTTCTTTGGCACAGGCAGGTCTCCACCTTTTCCGTCTTCACCAAGGTTGGGCACTGTCAAGCTGTCCCTCACAATCTCGTCTCCTTGCCCTTCGTGACTGTGATCTCCTGATCGTTTCTGGCCAGGTGTCGGAGATGGCACTGGCGTCATCTCCACATCGCCTTGTTCGTTCTCGTAGGGATTCCGTTCGTCGTAGTCAAGTCGTGCGGTTAGGGTACTCATACGGCGCTCATCAATTTCCAGCTGCTCATCCAGCTTTCGATCCTGATACGTTGCACCTTTGCCCTTCTTCGCCAGAGCAGCCTCTCTCTTGCCTTTCCACCATCGCCAGAGCAACAAGATTGCCCTGGTGTTTGCCTTCTTGAATCGTCTCCACAAGCTAATCGTCTCCTCGGACACATTGACATTCTCCCAGTCGACCAATCGGTGCACAGGGGCGTTATTGAGCTCATTGTCGAGGACTGTCCTCCGCCAATCCTCTATGGCGTCTTTGATGGCGGTGATGGTAAGAATAACAATGATGGGCACTGCGGCCAGACCTGGATTCTGCACACCGAATATGCTAAAAATCTAGATGATAATATGGAGTTAGTAATGTTGGCGGAAGCCATGTGCACCGCTCCACTTACACCGAGAATGACGATGAAGATGAAGTAGACGTTGGCGATGTTGTGCAGTTGAAACCACAGGTTCTTGGGGATAAAGCTGATGGGGGTATATTTTGCGGTTCGGATTTTGTTGCGCTTGAAGTGGTTCAATGGCTTGCCTTCTTCATCGCGTGCGGAGTCCGGGAGAGGCTGGTTGAAATATATGGTGCGGCTCGTGTGGCCTTCGGTAGGCTGGTCATTGGCGAGGTCGTGCGGCTTCGCGTCGCTCAGATCGGTGCCGGTGGAGTGTCGGTTGTTGTAAGTGCCACTCAAGCGGGCGATGTTTCTGTTGAATATGCTGCGGCGCTTGACGGCACCCTTGCGCCCCGGTTTCCGCACGGTAGCCCATCGCATGCGATTCAATGGCGTGCTGCGCTCAGCAGCCTGAGAGGGCGGCGTCTGCTCCGTGTCATATGTGACAGCCATTGCGGCGACGGGATCAATGTGGTGAACGATGGCATGCAGCAGAGCGGTGCGCTGAGCCTGCACGGCGCGGTGTGTTCTTCGTGGGTGGGCTGACAGCCCGCGCTCTCCGCGACCGACGGCGTCGTCTCAGGCTGGCATCGAAGGAATGGTGGCCGGTGGCTGTTGGAATGACCGATGACCGCGGGGGTGTGGGCTTCGAATGCTGCTTGACGCGCGCGGGCGGGCGTGGGGATGAGGTGATGTCGGCGGTGTTTGTTATTATGGCTCTCACCTCTCGACACTCGGGCTGAAACTGACGGGCGCTGGGCGGGATGATGCTCGAGTGGCCAGGGAGTGGGACCAGGTGCAAGGAGGCCAGGCCAGGTTGTTGCTCTGGCAGTGATAAAGTTTCCAGACGGACGATTATTGTCGAGGCGCAGACGGAGAGGGAGAGGATGGAGCCCCCTATACGGAGTACACACACAGACACACAGCACCACGCACGGCACGCGGCCAAGCAGGACGGCAATGAACAAGAAAGGGTGCGATGCAGCGAGTGTTCGTCGCCGTCGCCGTCGAGGCAGACACGACGCAATACTCTAGTGAGATCGATGCCAGCGACTCCGGGCGGAAGCGTAAGATCCGCCTCTGCGGCCTTTCCATCGCTGGCTGTTTGCCTCAGCAGTAACTAACTTAAGTGAGCACAGCTGCAGAGCTGAGCCAGGATGCGCCACGGGACTGGAGCAATGAGATGCCGAGTTGGCGAGCAGCTACAGGCTACAGCATGGCCATGGCGTCGGCGAGCGAGCGCAGCGCAGCTTATTACTGTAGCCTGAGGCGCATCCCTACGGCAGAAGCATCGCAGAATGATATAATAATCGTATCGAAGGTCAGTCCTACAAAGCTTATTGTATGAGATCTGGAGTGGCACGTAAATTTAGCAGAGTTGCACTGTTCCTGTGGCTCGGGAAACAGAACGTGCTGCTGCGGCTGCTGTGCCAAGGATAGCGCAGTCGACACTCCAGTGACTCCACAGACCGCGTGCGTTATTCTTGTCATCCGAATACGACAATATTAATGCCCTTCGGCATGTTCGGATAAGCCGCTTGCTGCAGTCATCGTGATTCATGCATCAGCTTCGGCGAGCTCGACTCCATGAGGCAGCGTTGCATCTCTGGAGGGAGGGTGTACCACAGCGGCGGCGGCGTCGGCGTCGGCGGCGAGGGTGTGTGCAGCGGTGTACGGCGATTTTGCGGCTCTTTCTCTCTCGTGTATGATAATGCGCGCGCCAGTGGCCCAGTGCAAGGGTCCACCGTATGCAAGCGCGTTAGTGATCCGAGCTTTCTGGTCCTCGACGCGTCCCTCGCGACTCTTCAGCCGAAGACTCGAACCGCTCTCTGTACATCTATGCAACCCTATGGCGCCTGCCCGCCCAGACATTGGCGCCAGTCACAAGATCACCTCGTTCTTCAAGAAGTTCACCGTCCCAAAAGAACGACGCCCCGATCCCAACGTAATCGAAGATGAGATCATCGTCGCGACACCCGGTTCGCGCGCGTCGACGCTGTCCGCACCGGACGACACATTGTATTGTATATGCAGAAAAGCCGAGCATGGCGCCATGATCCGATGCGACAACGAAAATTGCGACAAGCAGTGCTTTCACTATCCATGTGTGGCATTGACGGCCGAGCCGAAGGGAGAATGGTTGTGCACCGACTGCAGAACAAGACCAAGATCCGAGCTCAGAATCGCCTCCACGCATGGCCGCAGGAGCAGCCAACCGAGCCCGGCAAAAGATGTACGGCAGTCGAATAGCTCGCAGGGTACACCGCGCAGAAGAGGCAGGCCGCGCAAGGAATCTACAGCTTCGCTGTCGAGCACACACACTTCAGCCAGCACTCCTAGACGACGTAGAGGCCGCGCGCCCAAGTCAAGCCTGAGTTCGTCATCCAATCCATCGCGGAATAGCAGTATACATGCCAACACTGCCACGCCCAAAAAGTCACCCTTGAGGTACAATGTGAATCCAGTGACGGCACTGCCAGACGTCACACCGACCAAAGATTCACCATATCGCGAATCATCTGCCACGCCTTCGAAACGACGAGTTGCCCTCGGCGTCGAACTCTCCTCCTCGCCAAGATCAACATCTTCAGACCCCATTGCTACCGGCTCGAGCTCAATGGCTGCGCCTCCCGTTCCTGCCGTTTGCGCACCACCGCACACCACCGCACCTGCACCAGTAACATCGTTTTCGTCCATATCCACATTGTCGAGCGCTCCATTGAGCTCGCAGACTCCATCAGCTCCCATCAGCACTGCGTCGTCGAGCAAGCGCGTGATCAGCGGCGGACTGAAAGGTGTTCGCGATTCCGACTCGGAATCTGATGGCAGTGATGATGATCTGGCAGATGTGTCCACCTTTTTCGCGAACAAGAGACCCAAGCTTTCGCCTGCTGTCGAAGCAGGACCAAGCAAGATCGCACCCAGCACCGCCAAGTGTTCTGCGCAGAGTGAGAGACATAGACAAAAAGGAGTGAAAAAGAAGCTGCAGTCGCGCATCTCCTCGCCCCCGAGGAGAACATTTAAGAGTCTGTCGAGCTTGGCTAGACAGAGTGAGGAATGGCAGCTGTCTGAGGCAAAGATCGCCAGCCTTGAACAAGCCGTGGCAGACCTAGACCGGAAGGAAAAGGAGGAGGAGGAGACCGACGCGCTGGAACAAGATGCGGATGGCGACGCCTTGGTGGCTGCCGCTGGCAGTGACGATGAGAATCGCGAAAGGATGATTATAGCTCTGGAAAGGACTGAGGCGCTTCATGAACCTAATCGATACCACTTCTTTCTCGACAACCGGCCACAATTTCCCGATACTCCATTTCCGGTGGAATCACTCCCAAACGAGCCGTGGGCAAATTTGTACAAGAGTGAGAACTCTCGAAGGCAAGCCTGTATTACTGGATTTGCGGCTGAAGTGGCCGCTTATCGCCCGCTGCCTGTAGCCGTAACAAATTGGCTTGCACAGCAGCTGCTTCACGAACGGGACGAGGTGCTCTGCGAAGCCTACGTAGGCATACTTGAAGTCGCAAGCCAGGACCATACATCCGTATCAGACACGATAGCGTCGTTGTCATCGATGTACAAGACACGATCATTCTTCGAAAATGGCTCCAAGGAACAGGTCCGAAAAGGTCTACCTCCTGGACTGAGATATATGATGCGCGTCGTTCAAGTTTGCGCACCTGCATCGGACAGTATTGTGCCGGACGCAGCGCCCTCAATGACGACCGCAGCCTTCTTAGACCTCGCTATGATCAACATCGATGAGCATGTCAAGCAAACCATCGGCCTTTCTTACGAAGTCGCATCCTGCATTGAAAAGATGCTCGCCGACCTGTCCGAACAAGCATTCAAAATGCTCGTCACCGAAGCCATTGGCACCCTTTTCTTACCCGACCATCTCAACACTCTAATACGATGTCGAATCATCGCCTCACTTCCTGCCGGCACTGACCGTTCCTACCGCCTACGCCGCCGTCTCGCCCTAGAATGCTTCTCCACCACCCCCTCCCGAAAAACCGCAGAAACCCAAGACTGGCTCCACTCAATCCTCACAACCCTCCACTCCGCCCCCGAATTCTCAATGTCCGAACGCACAGATTTCAACCTCCTCCTCACAATGATCGATATCCTCGACATCGCAATCTCCTCCGGCTTCACCCCATGGTCCGACCTCCATCCCCCAACCTCAGACTCCTCTCGACCCACACGACAACCCTTACCTTTCTCCACCACCACCACCGCAGCAACAACACCTGCTGCAAAGCTCCACAACACCCAAATCGACGCCATCGTCTCGGAATTAAACTACATCGCGTCCAGAATCCGCGATGCCGGCACGACGCACTTACGTCGAACAGAAGTTAAAAGTGCGACGGAGAGGTTAATCGCAAGGTTAGAATGCTCTGTGAGGACGAAAATGAAACCGAAGAAGAACGTTTTTGGGGGAACAGTGTTACGGCAGGCGAAATTCGGGAAACCCCCGGTGGTTCCGGTTCCGGTTCCTGCGAAAGCTGAAGGGGAGGAGGAGGTTCCAAGAAATGGTGAGGGTGGTGATGGTGGGAAAGAAGAAAGTGATGATGGGGATAGGGAAGATTCCGAGGAATTTCAGACTTGTGTTGAGTTTAATACACAGTCACTGTCACAGTAGAAGAGCTAGCTAGCTGGGTCGATTTTGGAAGATACCACTTACTGATATGCAGCATTATGAACATAATGGTGATTGATACGATAATAGTACCTTCCTTGTTCTTGGGAGAAAAGTCTTCGACGCCGAATGATTGAATGATGCTATCTATGTATGTATGTATGATGCTTCATGAATCTAGACAACGAACGCGTTTTCAAAAGACGTGGCAATTCAAATGAATCACCCTCTCACATGCTGAGATTGAGACAACTGAAAGTTCTTGGGCTTTCTTGGACGCTGAGATTTCATTATATCTCATTTGAGACCATATGGAAAACTGATGTTCAGCTCTCGCAAGTCTAGTTCCTCGGTTGACGTCAACCCAAGGTCTTGCTCAATGGCTGCGCTATCGCTATATCAAGGCTCTTCTGGGTATTACATCTATGCTAGACTTTGCTCCTCTGTTGTATTATAACTCCATAATTCGTCTATCGCACTCTTTAAGCATGGCCTTCCTTTTTTGCATCCCATCTGTGAGCTTCGTCGCCACCGGACCAGCTCTTCTCCTCGTATCCGACTTGCTCCTTGACATACCGCATCAGCTCGTCGTTGCCTATGTTCTTGCCCTTATCGTCGCTGAGCTTGATCGCGTACTTGCCATCGGCTTTGCTGATCTTGATGACGATGTTCAGAGGGACACTCTTCTCGTCGGTCTTGAGGCGCTGAAAATCGTTGGTGAAGAATGTACCAACGCCGAAGCTTGGCGTCATGCCAGCCTCTTCAGTCGCCGCCTTATATTGGACGCAGCGATCGATGTTCAAGCTGTCGGAAAATACGATGGTCTTGGGGCCTTTGATGCCTTGCTTGCTGTAGAATGTCTTCATCAATTGCACGAACTCGACTGGATCCCCTGAGTCTTGTCGAACGCCGGTGAAGATTTCAGCATATGTGGCATTGCCGCGCTGCGCATCTGACGTGTAGCCACTCGTAGGTGCCGGACGAGCGAAGGCGCGAAGGAAATTCGGCGTGCCAAAGGTATCTGTAAGAGCAATACCTAGCACGCCGCGGCCAAAGGTACCGATCCAGTATTGCAGACCTTTTTCGTTGGCATTCGCATAGTCTTGGGTAACAGCAGCAATTCCCATGAACCATTCATGTGCGACCGTGCCGATCGGATTCAAACCATAGCGCATCGCTAAGTGAACGTTGGAGGTCCCACTAAACTTGCCCTTCCAACCCTTGCCGTTGTTCTCTGCCTCCTCTCGCGCTGCGATCAAGCCCTGAATTATTGTATCGTGGGTTTTGTAGTCCCTCCTTCTCCTGCTTCCGAATTCGCTGAAGACGCACCCTGCTTCGAGCAGCCTCTCGCCTTTCTGCTTCGCCTTCTCTAGCTGACCATCATAGTTCCAATCTCTGTCCACAAACTTGAAATATGCTTCTGAAGTGAGCGCGAGTACTGGGATCTCGTATAGGATCGTCTCCTTCCACCCTCCATGCACCTTTAAATGCAAGTCACCAGGCGTAGAGTCGTCCGCGTCCCCCACAGTAGATGGTGTGAATGTGATTGTGACTTGCTCTTTTGGCTTCAGCGTGAAGGTTTTCAAGTATTCTAGATACTCATTACTGAGATATGGACATGTTCGCTTCAACCAGCCAATTTCGGAGGCTGTGACGAAGATATTCTCGAGCTTGTCGATCTGCGCGCGTAGCCACTTGAAAGCCTCCTTGGTGAGGCGCATATGAGGGGTACGATTGGTGAAGGTATACTCGACGTCCACATCTGGAAAGTACTTGAGGACGGCGCATTGCATCGTCAGCTTGTACAGATCTGTGTCAAGCAGCGAGGATATTCCCTCTGGGTGATCGGTGCCATTGGTGGTCGCCATGGCTGGTAGTGGTATGTGCGATGCGGATGAAATGGTGGGTCTTGGATGGTCTGGAGCGCAGTGTAGAGCTTGAATTAAGAGGTGGTGGAAAAGGTGACGAGGACGCGACCGTAGTCATTCATAGGAGAGTGTTTGCTGGAGGTGGGGCGTAAGATCGGCGATAAGGCTGTGGCATGAGGACGGCGTGGAAGAGCATGTAAAGGTCTGGTCGCTGTAAAAATGCGGAAGGATTCGCAGGGAGATATTTTCCAAAGCTTAAGCTATGCCACGCTATCGATTATCACATGCTTTGTTGTGAGTGAACGAGTGTTTTGGCTTGCTTGGTTTGACTCCAGCTCGCTTCGCGCGGCGTCTGTTCCGAGAAGCATTTCTTTGCAGGGTCCAGCATTCGAAGCAATGACATCGACGTGCAGGGAAGGAGAAGCTCTCGCTCGAAGAGCCTCAATCTCGAATCCATACGGCACAGAGCTTCGGTCGGCGAGCCATCTTCACAAGTTCTGCTCTGCTGTACTATTACATCGCCACTTTCACTTCCGCATTTCTTTAGGTCAGCATCCACACCAACCAGATTTCTCCTAAGCCGACGGCGGCAACCTACTTCGCGACGCGTATCTACAATTCGTAGCTCTCAGGCAGGAGCTTGACTCGAAAATCAACGCAGCCAAAATGTTGCGATGGTATGAAGATATACCATGTCTACTTTTCATATATTCTCTAATCATTGTTCTGGCAAAAAGGTATCAATCCAAATTGACCTCGCGGCCGGTCCTCACACAAGCCGTCACGACCGCCGTCCTGTTCGCGACAGGTGATACGATGGCCCAGCAACTCGTCGAAAAGAAGGGTATTCAGAATCAAGATTTCGCTCGATCTGGTCGCATGGCCCTCTATGGTGGTTGCGTCTTCGGCCCTGCTGCAACGAAGTGGTTTGGGTTTCTGCAGAAGAAGATAGTGTTCCCTGGCCGACCGAATACAGAAATTGTTGCAAGAGTGGCGACAGATCAAACTGTGTTCGCTAGTACGAACCTGTTTGTGTTCTTGAGCTCAATGGCTCTCATGGAAGGCACGGACCCGAGGGATAAATTGAAGCAAAGCTACGGAACTGCGCTGCAGAAGAACTGGATGATTTGGCCGGCCGTCCAATTCACCAACTTCAAATTCGTCCCATTGGAGCACCGAGTATTGGTGGTGAACGTCGTATCACTTGGTAAGTGCATGGATGCGGATATGTTGAACTCGAGTGCTAATGGAAAAAATCTCAGGTTGGAACTGCTACCTAAGCTACCTCAACTCTGCGCCTAGTGGAGCGCACGACAGGGACGGAGGCGAGCTCCCACCTTTGTAAGGATTTCAGACTTCGAATTCGCTCCTGTGATATGGATGGAAATTGCTCGGATAGAAGGGCGACTGTGTATGGCATGGGCTTCGCTTGGGGTATAGCATGGTGTCTGGTGTCTGGCAATAGACCGGCTCGCGCTGCAACAGACAGCTGTGACGAATGGCTTAGATTAACTGGAAGCAAATTGTAGACACTTTCACGAAACATCCTTCGACCGAAGTCGTTCGTCTTCTTCAGGCGTCCTCGTCGTCAGCTGCAAAGCATGAATACCTCCCTCCGCCGCCATTTCATCCTTCATCAACTGGTTCACCATGCGGTGGCGAGCTATTTGCGGCTTGCCCATGAAAGCTTCTGAAATGATCTCAAGGCTAGAACGCATCAGCAATGGGGTTTGTTCGACATGTAGACCACCTACCGAAAATGTGTCTCCTTAGACGTCACACCCTGCATTGCTTTGTGGTGTGAATGCTTATGTGAATCGTTATGGATTACCAGACTTGCAGGCGCAAGAGTCTCTGTGAGCTACAATGTCCATGGTTAACACCATGCGGGCCAAATGAGCTTTGCGTGGAAGGCCTGACCTTTTGTCTGATAGCATCTTCCATCGGTGTTTGGGATGCCATGGTTGAGTATGCTGTCCTCTGCACCAAGCGCACAGCCTGTTGAAACATTGGCCCCTTCTCGATAAATTTCAAGATGCAATTGATCGTTACTCAGATGTAGAAGAGAGCACGCTCATGCATCCAAATTCCGAGATTCACCTGAAGAGAGTTCTCCACTTTCCGCGCCAAATCCCTGCAAGGCGCAACGCGCTTCACCTTTCCCTGCGTCATCACAGGTTCCAGTCTACTTTCCTGTGAACAACACTTGAAACTCATCACAACACCAATGTAGACTCTCCAGCAATGGCGCCCATCCGCCGCTATCTACGCATAACAAAATTCTCCGTCCTCGAAGTACGAGTCTACCTGCACAAACCTTCCGACACATCCTGGCTCCTCTCCTCCCGAGACAACGTGCTCCAACGCATAATCGCAGAAGTGCGCCCGAAAGTCCTACCCAAACTACGCGAGGAGAATGAGAATGCGAAGAAGAAGAGCGGGAAGAAGAAACGTGGAATCAAAGACGTTGCGAGTCAGGAAGATTTCGAAGTTGCGATTTTTCTCAAAGATACGAGTACGAGGCATTCGCTTTTGAGTAAGAGCAAGAGTTTTACGGAGAAACCGAGGTTGAAGAGTCGTGGGGTGAAGAATTTGACGGGGTATTTGAGCGAGGATCCGATTAATATTGATGGTGATGAGGAGATTCCTGAAGTTTTGAGAGAGGAAGGAGCGGAGGAGGTTGTGTCGTTGCATGATATTCCTGAGAAGATGAATGGAAAGCGGAAATCTGCTGCTGCTGATGGGGAGGACGATGCGCTTTTCGTGTCTTCGAGCGATGAGGAATTTTTTGCGACTCAGCGTGCGAACCCTAAGCCTGCGAAGAGACGGAAGAGGAACGAGGTAGAGCCAGAGCCGGAAGTCGAAGAGCAAGATGATGATAAGAAGAAAATGATGATGGATACGAATTATGATGGGTTTAGTATTTATGGGAGGATTCTGTGCTTGATTGTTACGAGGAAAGGGAGACGAGATCCTGGCGCGACGACTGCTACTGCTGCAGTGGGCGGAAGCCAGATGATGGAGCAGTGGATTGGAACTCAAGCAGAAGGTGGGAACGCTATCCTCGATGATGAGGAAGGCTGAAGTCGTTTAGCAGCATCCTAGCTTCAAGGCGTATGGATGAGATGACAGTTCTACTTTGGGAGTCGCAGTGACTACTATGCAAGACCGGGACACTAGGGCGCGACGCACGATTTGCATGCCAACGTCAAGTATGGCCTTTGTCGTGAATGTATTCGAGGCGCAGGCGTGGTCCAGTATATGCTCTACTGCACATTGCATGCATCGCCCTCATCTTCAAACCGAGCCCTCCGCCTTCACCAGTTCGGTCAATTATTCCAACTAGTAATCGCGGGGGATACATGAGACTACGAAGCATGCGACGAAGATTTGAGCTGTCCATGTCTTTGTGAGCTTGCCTCTCGTGTCACGCAGCCAAAGCCGAGATAACGAGCTTCCTCACCAACGGCCCGATTGTGGCATATTCGAGATTCGAGCAAGACCTCTGCAGCACTCTGTCCTCGGGGTATCAATCTGTTTAGGAAGAAAATAGGAATGACTCCGAGACTTGACTTATCGGTCTCGAATTGCTACTTTTGAACAACTTCTCCAGACCGGAATCTCCATCCGAGTAAGACGCTCGGATATCATAGCATGGAAAACGACATGACAATTGTGATATTGATCGAAATGTCAGAGTCAAGGATGCACTTCCGCACGTAGTCCTCTTCTAGCAATAAAATAAAGCCAACAGGTCTCGTGAACACTTTGTTCATGTCCAAATGATACCGATACGAAGCCGCCCTGCGATGCAGGGAAGGAAGGAGCCGGTCAGCTGTCTGCACCTTGTCGAAAAATTTCAGGCTTCGGTTTTGCGTCGTTCCTGCGTCGTCAGTGTGACGACTTTGTTCTGTTCCTGCAGTGGGATCAGAGGTTGTGCATTGACCACGCACTAGTTTCTACTACTACTTCACCTTGTGAGGTAGATAGAGGTCAGCATGAAGGACTTCAAGTTGCACTACCAAGTCCTAAGCTGTGGTGATCCGGAGTGAGGTGTACTGATTGGGCATGCGAATACACCACTGCTTTGCTGTCTTTAATCAACTTCCTCGTGGGCAAGCACCTGGTTAGGCCCTGTATACTTCTGTAGATTATCGGCTTATTTCCTATAGATTATTAGCAATAATCTATAATCTATAGCTTCTTAAACACTATATACTTCTTAATCGTACGACTATTATAGATTGTAGGTTATTATAAAAAGATTATTAGGGATACTAATTGCAGTAGTTATATACGAATAACCTACTAAATACCTCGAGAGGTGCTTTTAGCCCCTAAATAATAGACTTCTCGTCGCTTCCGAAGTAGCTCTTCTTTCTAACTATTATTATATATCTAATATAGACTCTATTTAAGTCGCCGTAGTCGTCGTTCTTATCGCCGGAGTAACTCTCGCTACCTCGATCCCCCTCTTTTAACGAAATATACGTAGACGGTAGTACTAGCCGTCTAGTAAGACCGAGACCCTTACGGAGCTAAATAAAGGCATAAAGGAGACCTTTCGAGTACTATATAGTCTAGAGTAGGATTGTTATAATATAATACGTCTTAGACAGCCGGTGCTATATAAGTTAATATAGGAGCTAAAAGAAGGCGGCGATTTAGATCCGTATAGCGCGATTAAGGTCTCGGTCGAGAAGTAGGTAGTTATATTCTTAGACTTTATAGCGTATAACCTATCTATAAGGCAGCTAAGAAAGGAATATTAGCACTTGTTTAGCACCTTTAAGTTAATTATTAAGCGAGTTAGCAAAGCGCTCTATAGGATAGCAAATAAATATATATCGTTACTAGAGGCAGACTTAATCTACGAGAAGCTAAAAGATCCTCTATTTAAGTACTTCTTAGGCGCGCTCGGCGCCCTTAATAGCACCTATATCTACGCTTAAATACTATACTAAGAACAGAGCGCCTAGCGTTATAGGAAGAATTTTATTACGTAGAATATAATAGCGGCGTACGACTTCGACTGCAAGTTCTTATACGCGTTTGTCGGTTACGAAGGCTCTATAAACAATAGAACAGTATTAGGTCGCGCCTTTAAGAGCGGTAGATTTAGCGTACCTAAAGGTCGATATTATCTCGCTAACGGTAGCTATTTACTACTCGATAAGCGCCTTCTAGTACTATACTAAAGAATAAGATATTATCTTCGTAAGTAGTACGCTTCTTCTCGGCGACTAGAGACAAAGGAAGAGCTATTCAACCTCCGCTACGCGCAGCTTCGTAACTATATAGAGCGGATATTTAGCATTATTAAGAAGCGCTTCGAAATCGTCGCTTAAGGTCTATACTAAGGTTATAAACTTATTAACTAGAAGCGTATCTTAATAGCCTATTTCGTACTCTATAACTTTATTCTTAGCTATAGCGGATAGCCTCTCGAGAGCGAGCCTAAGCTTACTAGAAGTAATAGTATAATTAGAAACCCCGATAGGTCCGTAAACGAGATATAAGGTAGTATTAAAGACGATATAATAATTAAGTTTCGTAATAAACTAGCGGAGGAAATGTAGTAGGACTATCTCGAGTATTTAGAGCGGAAACGGCTCGATTAGCGCCTATAGGAGTAGGGTAAAGTTTAGTTATTACCGGAGGCTATCTAGTAGGGGATATAGGGGGCGTTTTTAGTAAGGTTTCTACTATTTCTTCCCTTCTAGCTATAGCAACGGTATATAGACTACCTTTCTACGTCTCTATATCGATATCTCGAGGTAAGTTAACGTTATATTAGTGCAGTCTTAGCAGGGTAGGGTTTAGGATATAAAGAGTTTAGAACTTATACTTTATATAAAAGCTAGTTATATACGATTCGTCGATATATAATAAAATACTAATAAAGTCGAATTAATTGCTAACATAGAGTTACTATATATATAAGTGCGTACCTCTCCGACCTCCTAAACTAATAAATTAGACTTAGACTCGGATTAGCTAAATTTAACCTCTAACCTTTAGTCTATACTAACTCTTCTATAAATAACAACCTATCGCTAGCTCTATAGATACCCTAAACCGGGCAAAGGGGTAAAGGGCGACGGCTAGCTATACGCAGGTATATCTAGATACTATCCCTATAGTCGAGGCATGCTATTAACCTCGTTTTAAAGCTCTACGAAGAAGGCTTCGAAGTCCGCCTACCGTTTAGGTCGTATTATTAAAACGGCAATATTTGCGCGGTATAGTACCTTTCTAACCTCCTTCGCTATATTGTTCTTTATAGCAAACAGCTACTCCTTTAGCACTTCCGGATTAAATAGCCGCTTATATACTAGCTCTAAAGAATCCTTAACTCGTAGTATTAGTATAAAAGACCTAGCGTTAGACTTATAAAGGAAATTAGCTAGTATGTCCTTTAGCGGATTAAATGCCTTTATAATAATATCCTTATTAGTAGTAGCCTCGGCTGTCTAGCGGTAGTAGATACGCTTACCTTCCGCCTTCGCTTTTAGAAACTTCTTCTTATTTATCTTCTGCTTCTTCGCTGCGCGCTTTACCTATTGTTTGTACTCGCTTAGCTAATTGTCGTCCTTAGATTCTTCGCCGCTATTACTACTACTATCGCTCGAGTCCTTATCCTCTTCGTCCGACCCTCGACTACCTATCGTATTAGTTAGCTTATCTTCTACTAACAAAGCCGCCGTCTTAGCGCTATTACCTATCGCGATATCTACGCCTACGAGCGCCTCTATTTCTACCTTCTACGCCGGCTCCTACTTAAGAAAGATAGTATACTCTAGATATGCCTTATTATAAGTATCTTTAGCTTTAGTAGTCTCTCGAGAAGGCTATCTATTCTAGCCGCTAATATAAGTTAAATAGATAACTTAGAAACCCTATTCTCGCTTTATTATAGCCTATTTGTTTTTAAGAGCTATGTCTTTAAACTAGAGCTAAAACTTCTTACTTATTATCGCTATAATAGGCTAGAGGTCCTTTAACCGGAAGTTTCTACTATTAGTCTACTTCGCCTTAATCTTAATTAACTAGTCGAGATAGAACTAGAGGTGCTTATTCGTATAGCGCTTAAGCTCTAGATACTTCGTCGCCTTCGAGGCTTTATTCTTTTTTACTAGACGACGTTTACGCTTCGGAGCTATTATAAGAGCTTAAATTAAATAAATAAGAGGTAGATAAGGCAATCTATAGTACTAGCAACGCGATAGGACACGTCCGCGGAAGAGCTAAGACTAACAACCTAATAGAGCCGTAATAACCTATAATCTACTATAAAACCGTTTACTTAATAACCGCGTAATCTATAGATTATAGCGACAGGTTATTAACCTATAATCTACAACCTACAATCTACAGAAGTATATAGGGCCTTAAAGGCTCGGTAGCTGCAAACTATCTTCAAGCCATGTCTATGAGTTAGTCGCATTGTTGGGGCTGTAGTACGGAGACAGTGGTATATCGCTGTCCACTCGGCCTACACCCCTCACTTGATCCTACAAAGCTTTCTACTCATCACTTCTTCTCCAAACTCCACTCCCTAACCAATCTAAGAAACGAATTTCCGCGTTGTCTTGTTGTGACCCATGGTACGGCTTGGCTTAGCGGCGCGGGGATACCTCACCTGTTCCATGCATCTCAAGGATTTTGATAAAGGTTTATTTTTACTTTAGCTTGATTGGGAACAATTGACATTTCTGCACTGGTGCAATGATGCTGCAGGCTGCAGCTGTCAAACGACAAACGATCTGCCGCGCGGTGGACATGCGAGAGAGGAGTGACGGGTCAGTGTGAGCTCTCGTCTAGAACATCATTATTGTCATCGCATGACCTTTTCAAGACAGGGCAGTGGCAGTGGCCAGTGATGTACTGCTTATTAGTTCTATGAACCAGGCAGGGATGCATTTCGCCCCGTTGACGCCGTTCCCGCTGCCTCCGTACTGTGCCTTCGATATGATGACGGTGATGAAGACGTCGGTACGAAGGATTCGGACGCTAACGAGCACAGTGCGAACGAGGATATCCGGCAAGCATCAGTTGTGACTGTGTGATGATGAGCCGTGCCGTTCATGCTGTCGTGGCGGTTTGGTCATCAAAGAAACCACGACGCGTGTTATCGTCAATCATGAGCATGGTCGCGAGCTACGGACTCCGGTGTTGTTGTGCTACAGTACTGGGAAACTCTGCTTACTAATCACGTGGCTCGCACACCACACGGCAGTTGAAGCTTCACATGGGGGCTGTAGACTTTTGTTGAAAGGTCACCCACGCTAGCAGTGAGACAACTGCTCTCGTCATTGCTACTTCGAGGCGGTGAGTAGCAGTAGCAGTGGAAGGCATGGATGCTCTCATCCTGAATACGTGTCTGATGGCATCAATACTGTTGCTGTGCATGCAGCAACCCGCAAGTCACAGCGCAGCGATTCCTTCAAGAAACTACGTGTAGGAGTGCGTAGTACCATGATATCGAGGGATACTGCTGGTTGACAGAAGGGTGTCTGGTTGTACTCTGGCTTTGACGATGAGGGTGGTTGGTATTCTCCAGATACAGACATTGCATTGGTGCCAAGGCGTGGTCTACGGTCACAATGGATCTTAGCGCTGTGGCTTAAGCCCGCGACCAAGTCCCGACCTTTCATGAACGGCGTGGCCGACTGACGGCTGCCAGGAGGTCTAGCGGGGGCGCTGTGGAAGTACTTTGACATGACGATGGTTCTTGTGTGGTGCGACAGCAGTCCGCGTTGTGTGGCCTGACCTGACATCCGGAACCCCGCGTCTGCGAAGAGAGCTCGTGGTGGTGGCAGGAACAGGAAATCCGTCAACCTGTCCCTGTCATCTACCCGTTCTCTTGGTACCGATGTGGTCGGCTCAGATCTTGCGTATGAAGCCGAAGACGACGAGGAGCCCTGGCATTGCGGTGTCGCTATAGGAAGATGGGAAGACAATGAGAAGAAGAAGGGCTCTTGGATTTGAGAAGGCCGTGTGTAACAGACGGGCGGGAGATGCACTTGACTTGCCTCCTGTGCCACGCCATGCCATTCATTGAGAATGCTTTTGCGCCGTCTCATGCATGAAGCAGGCGAAAGGCACGGGTAGTATATTGATCTGGTGTTAATCTCTTATCGTTGAAGATGGAGAAGAAGCATCGGGCTTCAATGTAATGTGAAACATCCATTATGCTACATATATACTACATGCTATTATTACATCGAGACGCAAGAGAAGCATGATGATCCACGCTGATTGTGAGCCGAACGCCTGCACTCCTGCAGATCATGTGCAGCGCAGGTATACACGGCGAGCGACCACGTGGAAGCCAGGTAAGCAGAAATACTAGCAGCACTAAACTCTTTCAATCAACGAGTGCGTTTGCTCGTCCAGCTGACGCGTGCATAGCATAGCATAGCATGGCATGGCATGAGCATCATCATTTCTCGTGCATGACCATTTCTCGTTCTCCTGCCCTGCACAGAAGACCATGCATGCTGATTCGCCTAACAGCATATCATAAGCAAAGTGCAGCAATAAAGGACACGCCGATGACGGTGCGGTCGAGAGCTAGGCAGCCCAAGGAACCCAAAGACAGCCGGCCAGTCATAGAACTATGTATCGGTACTACCACTACCGTTCTTCCGCCCGCCTCTTCATCTCGCTTGCCGGCATCTGCGACGGCGCACCAACGTCAGGAGCATAGCGTCGAACAATTTGCCACGCAGAACACGCCTTCTTCTGCGACAAAAAAAATCTTCCTTAGCTAGGGTATAGGGTGAAACAGGCGTACGGCTACGGCGTCTTCGTACGTAGGAGGCCGCGTCGCTGCTGTTGCTCTCCCTCTCCCCGTGCCCCTGCGACACAGAAATAGCTTGCGAGCTGCACTACTGTAGCCATCGTCGAGCTAACGTTACCCACGGCACGGCTGCGCGCGGAAAGCGATGAGGCCATGTCCCGCACAACGCAACGCCCTTGTAGCTTGACCCAGCTGCCCAGTGTGGCTTGACGGCCTGACTACTGGAGCTGCATAGGAGCCAGGCATATCATACTTGCGCGCCCACGCATCATGTCTGAAGCAGTGCGACATGTGCGCGGTGCCTTCAATATTGCGAACGTGGGACAGGGCATATCGATTGCCTTGTATTGACTGTGCCCAGTGCCGTAATAACAATGGATCTCCAGCAGGGCGTTGGCGCCGGTGTCCTTTGCGCATCATCGCATACGAGTGCCTACATGAAACAAGGCCAATGCTAGTCACTCGAGGCCGAAAGCAGTAAGGATGCGAGTGGTAGGGCGACCGCATGATCCGTCCAAAATCGCTGCCCTGACTGCCCTGTCATGCCCAAATTTGAGTTCAGCCAATTCCTCCTTTCTTTTAGGCAGCTAGTCTAGTCAAGGCGGTCTGGGATGCCGTTTTGCATCAAGAGAAGAAATGACCCGTGGACATGGTTTGCGTATGATTCCCATCATATAAGCATCATCTCCTCCGCCTCCCTCACCCTTGCTTCTCTCGACCAGCAACAACAACATTATTTACCAAGACGTTTGGAATCTCAAGCTTTTATCACGGCACGATCCATTGCACGCCTGTTCCATCGATAAATACTCATCCACGTGGACACAGCCTCAGGCCCATACGACAACCCACGTCACTCATCGTCGCTAACGACAAAATCTCACAATGCCAGCCTCGACATTTCCACCCTGCCCAGGTCCTCCGCCAACACGGCCTCTGCCACCTCTTCCCACAAAATGAGGCATGTGCGTCACGCATTGCTCATTCGCCATACTACTCACAACCTGCAACACTCTGTTCGACAACGCGGCTTTGTTTCCCGGCTCGACTCGGAAATACCAGGCCTGCAATACCTGTTCGCACCTCGCCGCGCCTGGCCTGGCCTGGCCTGAGCAGCTAATACACAACATCATGCAAGCCAGCTTCACACCTTGCTCGGATCCTGGAGCTTTCTGGCTCGGTCTATCTATGCTGTCGAGTGCAGCTGGACCATTCACTTTCCAATCGACATGCTTGGCGCTCTGCTGTACGACACCCACTGGCGAGAAGGCGTCTTCACTCACTCCCACCTTTTATTACGACTCCTCTTGCCGCGAACACCATCTTAACTCCCCCGCATATAATCACCCCCGACGACACTACAACGTCGTCACCCTTTTCGATACCTTATTCCCTTTCGGAGCTGCTGGACGGCGGAAATGTACTACTACTGGGCTGAATAAACAACACATCACGGGCTTGTTAGAATACCAGGTCGGGGCTCATTTGAGCGCTGGCCAGACGTTGGTTAATGTAATTTTGGGTTGGTCTACGGTGGTATTGCATGGATGGCATGGAGGCGCGCAATTCTTTGGCTTAGATGCGAGCATGATGTGGAGAGGAATGGAGGTGATATACCCAATGGCAGCTGCAGATGAATGCGCGCCTCAACTATGTTTTGATAGCGATGGACCCAAGACAGTGGTCAAATGATATACTGACCTGATGGTCACACGATTGCGCGCCTTCTGTTTCCTGTTACATCGCGCTATCCCACGCTGCTTCATTGCGCCATCGCGAAGAAGCTGGAGCTGGCGCTGCAGTCAAGTGGCATGCGCGACACGTTGCAGCCGGTGCATGCATCAATGCCGGTCACGTCTGAAGTTCCAGTATGTAAACTCCAATGCAACAATCTGCACGGCACCAACACTTCCCAGACGGTGTTCGCAATTCACACTTTGACAACAAAAGTTGCATATGGCTACAGGTAGGTCAGAGTACTTGCTTGATGAGACGGCATACCAAACAAGAATACCCGCGCCATCTGCACCATCGAAGTGTCGCGGCATAATAATAACATGCGAGAAGCTATTATCATAAGCGGTGCTTCGCTGGCATTTTATTAAAACTGATCCTTCGTCGTGTCGTATCGTTAATTTCTGACTACTACAGTACTGAGAATAGCAAAAGTCATTTGGAAACAGGTCGGCATATGCATTGAATTGTCGTTGGATTCGCGTATGTGTTGGCACCGCAGAGCAGCTGGCCTGGCTTCACCGCATAACCTTATTACCTAGAAAGTAATGCCACCTGGTGCAGGCTGAAGACTGTGACATGCATGCTTCAGCCTTCTATAGAGGCCTAGTGATGTCCAAACCTTAGTAAGTAGTAATTACTATCCCTATAGTAATTACTATAGAAATTTCGAGACGTAGTAATAGTAATTATTATTACTACTATAGTAATTACTATTTAGTAATTACTTATTACTATATAGTAGTATAGTAGTTAATATATACTATTTAGATATAGAGGAGTACTTTATTTTTAAAGATATATTATATTATCTTTAGAAAATAAATATAATAGTACTATATCTATAAAAAGCTATTAAGAATCTCTTATTCTAAAAAAAGTTTTTCTATTAATAAAAAATAGTAATATAATAGTAATATAGTAATTACTAAATAGTAATTACTATCTATATTACTATTTCTTATATCTCGTAGTAATAGTAATTACTAAGGCTTAGACAATACTATAGAGGCCTACGATACGTCTTAGAACTATGTTTTATTACCGCGCCTACCGCTCGCTCCTAAGAATAAGATCCCTATATAAATCTATAACGAATAGTTTTGTTTTTACTTAGCGAAAACTTACTAACGCCGACTAAGGATGTAAATTCACCGTATATACTATATAATATATAGATAGATAGATATTTCATTTGCCTGTTATAGTGCCTTTCGGCCTATGTAGGTCTGTTTCTATGTATTGTTTTAGGTAGGAAACCAACTTGGTTAGTAAAAACCTCCCTCCTGTCCTATTTATAAGTGTTAATCTTCCTCGTTTCCCTGTTTTCCTTCCTCTAGGGTGTACTAGTATTATAGTTATTACCCTCTAACTACCTTGCCTACTGCTCTACCCTTCTTTCCCCCTCTTCTTCCCTCCTTCTTATCTACTCCTTAATTTCCCTTACTAGTACGAATTGTTATATAAATCCCTATTTAATAATCTACTTTACTATCCTCTTTAGGTCTTCTTTGCTCTAGATTAGCTTATCGTATTCCCTTTCTATTGCTTTTAGTCTCTAATCACTTCTACCTTCTAACTATTAAGGGCAGACTAGCAGTATATACTTAGGGTTCTAAGATTAGTAGCTATATTAGCAAGCTCTACTTTCAATTCCTAGGACGTTTCTTCTAAATAGGTAAGATCTGAGTCTAATATATTTAGATCTAATTTAGATAGCTAGGCTTACCTCGGCCCTATTTAGGTCCTTATAGAGCTAGTAGTTATATTAACTAAATTTGATTAGTACCTTTAGGGTTCCTAGTCTAACTTGTGTTTTGTTCTATTCCTGCTCCTATAGGTATCTAGCAATTAATTCTGCTAGGCTTTGTTTCTCTCCCTTTAGCTTGTCTTCCTTCGGCCTTATATTTAGTCCCTAAAGCTCTTTCTCTAGCATTTCTCTTGTTAAGACTCTATATTGCTCTAGGTCTTTAACTTTCTAGGGAGTTATTTGTAGTCTGTCTCGCCTCCTAGTCCTAATATATTAGGCTTTTATCTTATCTAGTGCCTTTTAAATAGTCTGTTAGGCTAGGTATTCTATTGTCTTTGCTATATATTGGTGTCTTAGTCCCTTAAAATATTGTTTGACTAGTAGGATCCCTAATTCTATTTCTACTACCCTTGTTAGTGTAGTTTTATATACTCCTAGGATTTTCTTTAGGCTTTAGGTTTAGGACCTACTAACTAGTTACTTAATCCTCTTTAGTATTTTCTCCTAGGCTGTCTATATCTGTGCTCTATATAGTATTGCTAGCTTAACAATTGCTTTGTATATAACTTTAGCTTTCTCGAATATAGCCCCCTATATAGAGGCTATAAGCCTATTAATAGATTGCATATTAGCATCTGCCCTCTACTTTACCTTCTTTACTTATAGTCCCTAATTCAGTTTTAGATCTAGCTAGATCCCTAGTACCCTAAGCTCTGCTAATAGTTAGGTTTTAAAGCCTTAGATAGTGATTGATTGCTTTATATTATAGGTTGATTTAGCCTTGCTAAAGTAGATAAGCTAGTACTTTTCTAGGGCGAATTTTGCTCTATACCTCCTTGCCTATTTTTTATACTCTTAGTGCTTCTCTTCTAGGATGTTATAGTTAGTTTCTGTTGTCTTAGACTAGGCTAGGATGTTTGTATTATCTATAAACCCTAATACTAATGTGTTTTTTAATTCTAGGAGTAGGAGTAGGTCTACTATAAAGATAAGGAAGAGGATTAGGGAGAGTATTAATCCTTAGGGGATTCCCTTTTCAGTTAGTATTAGGTCTAATTTGAATTTGCCTAGAATGAGCTGTATTAATCTTTCCTATAGGAAGGACTAGATAAATTAGACTATCTAGTTTAGTATAGCTTTCTGTTTAAGTATATATAGGAGCCTTTTATAGAAGACATTATTAAAGGCTCCTAAGATGTCGAGGGAGAGGAGGGTTACTACCTAGTTTTAACTATAGTGCTAGATATACTTAATCTGTTCTATAATTAGTTCTATAGCTGTTAGTGTTAACCTCTTCTTTCTTCCTCCTATCTAGCCTTTAGGAAGGATGTTCCTTTCCTCGGTAAAGGTTGTTAGCCTTTTAGCGATAATTTTTTCTAGTACCTTACCTATTGTATTAAGTAGGGCTATTAGTCTGTAGGCCTTAAGCTATATATAGTCTTCCTTCTAGGGCTTCCTTAGCACTACTATTAGGGACTTCCTAAATAGTCTTAGGTAGTGTCCTAGTGCTAGGCTTTATAAAAAGATATTAGCTAGTGCTAGGGCTAGCCCCTTCCTATATGCTTTTAGGAGTTTGTTATAGATCTTGTCTTCTCCTAGTGCCTTGTTGCCTAGAATTTTCTTTAGGATCCTTTCAATAGTTTCGGGTTTAACCTAGGTGTCTCTTAGTGTACCTAGTAGTAGAGTTTCTTGTTCTTTCTCCTTTATATCTAATAGGTCTGCTTATACTTCTCTATAGAAGAAGTAGTAGCCTAGGGCTCTTACTTTCCCTTCTATTGTAGTCTGTATTTGTCCTTGTTAGTCTATAATGTCCGGGAATTGTAGTAGCATATCCTTATCCTATTTAGATCTCCTTGCCTATTTAGCTATCCTCTATATCTCCTCTAGTTTCTTTATAATCATTCCTATTATAGATCTCTATTCTTATATCTTGTCTTTCTTAATCTAGATCTTCTTTTCCTAGTAGGCTTTATTATAGTTGTCCTATACTTCCTAGGTATAGGTTTGTGTCTACTATCTCCTAGCCTTCCTTGCTACTTTAACCTTCCTTATATACTTACTAGTCTAGTATAGTTGCTAGTATAGTAAATGTTTCTTTACTAGGGTATGCTTTCTAGCTACCTGTTTTAGGATTCCTATTAGTTCTTCTACTGCCTTGTTAATGTCCTCTAGCCTTAGTAGGTACTTTATTAAGAGTTCCTCTAGTTTTAGGCCCCTTTCTAGTTCCTCCTTAATCCTGCCCTATTAGGCACCTTTCTAGTTAAGCTTCTCCTCTAGTTCCCTTTCCTAATTAGCTTAGACATTTAGCTTAATCTGTACCGGGAAGTAGTCTAATAATTCTTCTAGTTCCTAATTGACCTTGTATCTTATAATCCTGTTCCTAATCTAATATAATATAAAGTATAGGTCTAGTATACTGCTGCTTCCTCTTGCCTCCTAAGTAATTAGTCCCTTTAGGGTAACAATTTCTATTCCTTCCCTCTCTAATATATTAATTAGTCTTCCTGCTAGGAAGTAGTAAGCTAGGGTAAAGTCTAAGCCCTAGAGGGGGTAGTAGAGGTTGAAATCCCTAAGTAGGATTTAGTAGGTATTCCCCTAAATAACTCTAAGTAGTCTTTCTAGGGTTTTTAGTTAGGTACTGCTTCTTAAGTCTAGTAGTAGGTTGTATATACAGTAGACTTAGAGTATACCTTAGGATGTCTCTACTTAAACTAATATTAGGTCCCTATCCTCCTATAGTATAGCCTGCTAGGTTTCTATATCTATCTCCTTACTAATATAGATATATGTCCTTAGGGCTCCCTAGTTGTAGATAATTGGGTAGTATCTTAGGTCTTTAACTATTGCTAGTCTCTTTGTATATAGGTTAAGCTAGGGCTCTTAGATTACAATAATATAATATTCTTTTAGGTTTAGTACTTAAAGGAAGCTCCTCTATACCTTGTCTTTGCTCTTATTAATATTGTACTGTATAATGTTCAGTAATATTACAATGTTTATTAGGTTTCATCTATATTATTTCCCTATAAGTTTTCCTTTAGTCTTCCCTTACTTTAGACTAACATTTGACTAAGCTTTGTCTGCCCTGCTTCCTTTCCTATAATATTAAGGTATCTTAGTCTCCCTAGTTGCTAGTAACTCTCTTGTACTAGTAAGGCCCTAAATGTAAACCTATTATCTTGCCTAGACCTCTTTTATAGCACTTAGCTAGGTTGCTTCTATACCTAGCTACCCTAGCTTATTATATATCTTTTTAGTATATTGATTCTAGCTTCCTTCGCTTTCCTAGCTGCCTATATTCTTACTAGGCATTCCTTCGCCTAAGAGGGGTGTCTTTTAGTATAGTATGTATATCTTACTTCTCCCTTATATACTTTGCATTCTTTAACCTAGTGCTCCCCTATACAATAGGAGTAGGTATTAGTTGTCTTTATACATTTAGCTGCTAAGTGTCTATAGTATTGATATTTGAAGCACTATATTATCCTATAGTTGCTTCTATATATCTCTATTTCTAATCTTTCAAAGTCCTAGAACAACCCCTAGTCTAGTACTATATTAGCCTGCTCTATACTCCCTACCTAGATAATTAGGGAAGATTGCTTCTTAGTCTCTTCGATTTTCCTTTTAATCTATGCTACTTTTATAATCTTTAGGCCTAGGTATATAGCTTAGTTTTGTCTCTATAGGCTCTTAATATCCTATTCTTCCTTAAAGCTTCTTATTATACTATAGGCTATAATTATAAATTACTATTAGGAGACCTTTGCTGTTTTCCCTATCTTAGTTGTCTATTCTTTTTATATTTCTAGCTTCTTTTTGTCTTGCTCTTATACTATAAATAGCTTGATTACCCCTTTACCTTCGTTCCTAGCCCTAATTACCTCTTTAACTATAATTCTTTCTATAATCTCTTTCCCTATAAGTCCTTAGATTTCCTTTTACTTCTATAGGTCCGTAATATAGACTCGAACTACTGTCCTCGGGGGTTTTAGCGCCTCCTAACTAGCTACTGCTACCTAGGTACGGTAGTTTAGGCTTATCTCCTATTGTTTCTTCGTAATCTTTGCTACGACTATATTAGCTACCTTTATAATTACGTAGCTTGCCTAGTTATAGATTGCTTTTAGTCCTTTAAGGAGTTCTAAAATTATTATTCTATATACCCTCTTAGGGGTTCTTCTATCTTCTGCCTTTAGTACCTCCTCTACCCTAGTATATAGTACTTTCTATTCGTCCTCCCTTCCTTCTTAACTATCTTCCCTTCGTCTCTAATTGTTCGCTGCTATCGCTTCTAACAACTCTAGTAGGAATATCTATATAATATATAGGTATATACGAGGGCCTATACTAATGCCTCGATATCTTAGGGAATCCGACTGTTATCCGCGTATTACATAACTCCTCTATAGGTGTATACCAGGCATCCGACCTCGAGGGCTGTGTACATGGTGTATTACACGCTGTGTACACGAATACACTGGATGGTGGGCTCCATGATCCATCACCGTCGCCGACAACTAATAATTGCTTTCGCTGTCGTTGTGGCTGATGATCGACTCGGCGGCGTAACCTTCGAGAAGCTCGAGATCCGAGCTCAAGGGCCGCATGCAGGGATGCCGCTCCTTATGGTACGCTGCCTTTTGCAGGACTTCACCGCAATTCTGCAACTCGCCCCTGTCTGCTTTGAGAGGGAGAACTCCTTTCTGCAGAGCTTGCAACTTGCAACTCAGTCCGTCACCGCCAGTCAGATTGAAGTTATTCCGAGCACCGAGCAATGGCACTCCACACTGGGCGTAATTGGGTTGACTTGAGAGGCGCAGACACAACAGACCAGAAGGAAAACAGCAGCGAGCAAGTCCGAAAGGCTGCGATCAGGCTCTGGCAGGAACCAATTCGCCCCTATGCTCAGTCAGCTTTCGACCGCACGTCCTCATGAAGCGGCTCGGCCGCAGCTTTGCTGCAAATCAAGCGTCTTCAAGCATCAAGGATCTTCCATTGAGGCGACAGGCCGGGACTAGGTTGGGCCTCATGTCATGATATGAACCAATTCTATCACCCAAGCTGCCAAGCAAACGCCAGGCAGCGTCAGCTTTCATCACCGCGGCGCTATTGAGTGGTGGCCATCATCAGCGTGACCAGCAAACCAGCTTCTCGGCAGCATCAAGCCAATGTACGGAGTTGCGGGCTTGCAGGATGGCCGAGGGTTCAAAGCACGTCAATAATTTTGAGCGAACCGTCTCTCATTACAGCGGCTCCTCTTGCACATCTGAGGTGTTCACACCGCTACTTTCGCGCCACGAGGGCTGACTGTGACCTGGAAACGTTTCAATGGCTTTTTCCAGAATGATTCTTGATGAGTCAAATCATCATATACGAAGGCAACTTGTCCTTGCCTTCCCCTTCATGAATCTAAGCCTGACTAAATCACCGCCACGCTACCCTTGAAGAAAGTGCCCACGGACTGTTGGTTTACGGCCAAACCTGGACCTGTCAAAATGACGATCGAGATAGAGTTTCTTGACACTGCTCATCAGTCTTTCGGACACTGTGCCGGCCAATGTTACAGAATGGACGAACCGTCGAACACGTTGTACAATTTCCAGCTGTTTCATGAAAATGCCATGTGGGTTGAGGAAGAAGCAATGCGAACTGGCGCTCCAGACCCTTGCTTGCAACCTGGTTGACTATACGGTACCTGCAAGGCACCAGAGCTACAGTACAGCTCTCTGCGCGCGTGCGCGGCGGATGATGATGAGAGCTGGTAATACGCCGACGAGAGTAGCGTGGACCTTGTCCCCCTCCGATAAGGTTGAGAAAAAGGTTATGCCCGTTATACATACGTACTGGAGTTTCTTCGGGACGAGGTGTCGCGTGCCGCGCTTTTGGAATTCTGCTGGATGCTCGGCATCGTCGGCGACAGGGAGACTTGAGCTGCACCAACCAGAGTCGTCCGCGCTACGAGAACGCTGTCGATTTCCTGATGACACTGACCGGCGACCGCTGATGTTGGTATAGGGTCCTGGTCGAGCGTTTCACACCCAGCAGCCGGTAAGCAGCGCCCTTTTGCGTGCGCGCAGTGCTCGACGTCGCAGGACAGGCCTGGTATGAACGTGGTCGCCTGCGTGTGTGTACGAGGCATCATAGCTGCTTGCTTGCAACGATCCTGTTTCGGAGCTAGCTGCCCTGTTGCAGGCCCAAGCACAGCTGGCGTTGGTGTGCCGGGAGGCAGCCTGGCAGCCTCAGCTCTCCGAGTCCAAATTCCAGATCCGGCCAGCTACAAGCTTCTTCATTAAACCTGTTGTCCGAGCGTCTTTGGCTTGGTCTGTGATATACTTGCATCTCTTGGTCGCTGCCCAAAAGACCATCAGGTCCATCACTCCGCATAAACTTGACGCTCTTCACCACAGTGACTAATTCTGCTTGCTGCCAACGATCAACGGTGCAGAGCATCAGCATCATCATCATCATACTGGTTGTTGCAGTATAGCACTTGACTATCTGCACCTCTCCTCCATTGCGCAAAGAGCTGTGGGAGCCGATTCTCCCTTTCGGACGACGCCAATACTTCAGACCGTAATGTCCTCAAGCAGCCGCGACTTCAACAACATGCATACCGCGGCTTCACCATCCTCTGCCATCTCGGTGGACGACTATCTGCAACGATGCTTCCAAGCGATTGATGATCTCGCCAACAACCCCTATGTGAATGGCACTCTTCCAGGTCCAGACGAAGAACGGGGAGGTCAAGAACACAGAGGATCAATTCAAGAAAGTCCAATGCGAGGTTCAAGCCACAGAAACCAAAATCAAGTCGCTCGCAAGGAGAGCCAATACCTTGATACAAGCAGAAGCCAGACTCCCAAAGCACCAACGGGCTCAAGATCGACGACTCCGATTCCAGGACCTCCAAAGTACAATCCGGAATCCAGCTCAAAGGCGATGAAGTCTCCCGTAGACCACATGCATCTACCTCCGGTCACGCCAAAGCCCGAATCGAAAATGAAGGGGTTCAAGGCTTTCATGAGACCGTCTTGGAGATAGATGGTACGATCATGTCCAACACGTCCATGCATTCGACAGCTTGAATACTAATTCCTGCGAACAGATACTCCCTAGTGCATGCTATGCCTCTCTTGAACTGCAGGCGGTCAAGAGTCGCTCGGCGACTAGAAGACTGCGCGGGACGCATAACGACCACTAAAGACTACGCGACTGTAACAACACTTTCTGGCACCACCACTGCATCGACCACTGTATTTCTAGCTGAACGACCCTGACTGACGGCGAAGCTTTGTTGTTTGGAGCACGCTCATCAATACCCCCATCGCAAATACCCATGTTCTACTACCGCTACTCGGAAGATACGCACTTGTTGTTGTTTTTGTTGTTGTTCTTGTTGTATCGGACTGTTGCTTCAAATGCCAGTGCTGCCTGCGGGTGGGTTACACGGACACAAATTTTCTTCCTTTGTAGGGGCATGTTTTTTAGCAGCAACCTCTTATGATAAAACCCTTCACTTCTCGATAATAATACTAGACAAACTAATCGATTGCCTGCTCCTTCCCTTTCCGTTGTTATTATTATTATTATTACTATCGATTCCGACCTTTAGTACCGACTAGTATATCTATTTATATATATATAATTAAACTTACGTTACTTAAGAGAGGCCTAACTATACTACCTATCTATCTAGACTCTAAACGATATTACTATACCGTATTTCTCTTATGCTTTCTATCTACTAGTACTAGCTCTTCTAGCTTCTAGGCTCTAGGTTCTCTTACGTAAAACTACTTTATTAATAGGCTAGTCTTACTACGTACGCAATCCCGCCTACGTAAATTACTAGAATAGTAGATCTGTAAGAAGGGTTATATTAGCAGGTAGATAGGGTAGTAGTGAATTAGTATAGTATTCGATAGAGATCTAAAAGGAGAGAGAGGAAGGTAGGCTAGTTAGCCTAACGCTAAGCGCTAAGCCCTGCCTAAGGCACCGAGACCCTAGCTTTACTCGGCCTAGTTATATGCCAATTACGTATAACCTCTTTAGTCCTAATACACGCTTCCCTTCTAAAGGCCGCGCCCTCGTAGCCTATCTATATTATAACCTAATCTCCGTTACCGCTAACTTAGTAGACTAACTAAGCCGTTTAGCCGCGCTAAATTAAACGCTTAACTACCTAATTATATAACTATATTAAATCTTACCTCCGACAATGTCTAACTTCTAACTACGCTATTACTACTACCGTAGTAATAATAAGGGGTTATATAGCTATATAAATTGAAGGCTAGTAACTAATTACAATACGAGCGCACCTTCCCTACTATAATAGGTAGGTATACGGGGTATTATAGCACTACCCCCGTTCTAAGTAAGGTTGTCCGAGTTCTTTACGTCTACTCTTAAAAGACCTAGCAATGTCCGCTTTCGAGGGTTTGTCCGCTTCCGAGGGTTATTATTCTTATTATTACGAGGACTATTATTTACTATCGTAGTTTCACTAGCCCTAATTAGTTAGGTTTAGTAGCCTTCAATTGTCAATCTTATCTTATCTTTTTAGAAAAAACACAGCTCGTCTAGTTTCTATAAGTAAAGGCTATTATAAGTGTAGTAGTTAAGGTTCGCCTCGCTTAAAGGGTTAGAAAGATCGAGGAGTAACCTATTGTCCGCAAGATCGACCCCGGCTAGCTTAGCTCTATAGTTTTTGCCCTTAGTTAGTCTATTAGTCGCTTAATCTTTTAGGCGGCTCAAAGTTTTAACTCGGCCTTAAAGTTTTAATTAAACCTTTAATAGGTTCAATCTTTTAACTTAGTTAGTATAGTGCTTTAGGCTCGTAGTATAGGTAAGGTTGCCTCTACGGCGTAGCGACAATAGTAGTAATATTAACAATAGCGGCGCTAGTCGTCTTAGCGCTAACTTTACCTCGCTTCTAATCTTCTTCTTTAACTAACAATATACTCCGCAATACCGTTAATAATATAGCCGCGCCGGCCGCGCCGTCCTCGCTAATTACCTAGGCCTCGAGGCCTCGATAGAATAAAGGAATAAGAGGGGGACCTATAGGGCTCGGTAGTAGAGAGGTAGATGTCTTTTAGAAGAGTAGGTAGTTAATTGACGCGTTATAGCTCGTTTATTAATACTCGGTACGCGTTTACTATAGTAGTATAGTCTCGTTATCCTTTGCTAATAATTGCTTATCTCTAATTAGTTAGTTTAATAGCACCCCGGGGGTAGCATTATTCCTAGGCCTTAGTAGCATTACGAGCTTTTAGCCTTTTTCTTATTCTTTACGCTAGTCTAATACTCGTCTAATAACTTAGTTATATCCTTAAAAGAATCTTTAGCTTCCTACGAGTCCTATTCTAGTAAATAGCCCTACTATCTTAATAGGTACTCCTTCTTACCCTTCCTAGTCCGATGCTTTAGTATACGCTCTATAGACTATAGCTCTTTACTATCGGCTAAGACTTCTTCTAACTTAGTAGGCGCTTTATCGCCTTCGCGCTAGTAGTATAGTTTAAGGAGGGATATATAGAAGGTATTATAGATAGTATAATAGGGTAGAAGCTATAACTAATAGGCCTATACGGAAGAGCCCTTAATTTCTCGAATATAGAATAGGCTAATATATCTCGGTACGAGCTTGGGTCTTGTTTTGCTATTAGGTAATAGGTGTTTACGGATACGGAGGTTCTTAGTACTTAGTATAACTATATCGCCTTGCTTAAAAGTTATTAGCGTATAGTGTTTATTATAGTAGGCCTTCTAATATGCCTAGGCCTTTGCTAGTTTGTTAGCTAACTTAGCGTGAATTTCCCGCATCTTTTAAACCCTCTTAATAGCCGCTAGTGTCTTAGGTATTAGTACTTAACGCGCTTCCCTTTCCTTACGCTCGGCCTCGAGCGAGGTAAATAGATCTTATAGCAAGGTAGCGTTCTAGCCTATTATAGCTATATATAGTAAAACCTTAGTAGATAAGTGTATACTGTTGTTGTATACGAATTCTGCTAGTTATAGGAGGTTAACCTATCTGTTAGGGTCCTCGTTAATATAGCTACGCAGGTACTACTATAGCGTAGCATTTTGCCTCTCTGTTTAACTATTAGTCTACAGATAGAAGGCTGTTAATAGCCGATGCTTTAGTCTTAGCTATAGGCATAATTCGCTCTAATAGTGCGATATAAATATCGAGCCCCTATCGGAGACTATCCTCTTAGGGGTCCCCTAATAGCTATAGAAGATATTATTCTATAGGGCTTTAGCTATATTAATAGCAGTCTAATCCTTTCGAGTAGGGATATAACGAGCGCTCTTAGTAAACCGGTCTACGATAACTAGGATAGTATTATATATATCCTTGCTACCCCTATACTTAGTAGGCGGAAGGCCTATAATAAAGTCTATCGTAAGCTTAGCAAATAGCTTCCTAGGAACAGGAAGTAAAGACAACTCGCTAAATAGTAAGTGCTTTAGTGCTTTAACTCGCTAGTATACTACGTAGGTCTGTACGTATTCTTTTATATACCGCTTACTATTTAGCTAGTAGTATATGCGCGATAGTAGCTCGTACGACCTCTCTATACTATAGTAACTAGCGAGTTTACTATTATAGTGCCTCTTTAAAAGCTCTTGTCTAATTGATTGTTTAGCGGGGACATAATATCTGCCCTTAAACTTTAAGTAACCTTTGTCGTCGATCGACTAACTATTACTCTTACTAGATCGAGTCTTTCGCCTACTTACAAGCTTATTAATACGTTCGATAGCAAAGGCGTCCCTCTACTAAGCCTGTAACAGCTTATCTATAAACGATTAACTATCCCTATTCGCAAGGTTATTTAATAGTACCCTCGCTATCGAACGAGGTACGCATTATATATATCTAATAGCACTAGCAGCCGGAACTACTACAACCTCTTCTATAGTGCTATCGCTATAGATAGTAATGTCTTTAATCGAGTTATTATAGCTCGAGCGATCTACGTCCTTTCTTTTAACGTATACTAGAAGAACGACAACTCCGCTATAGTATTTGTTGCCGCCGCGGGGTCCGGAAGTCCGCTTATCCTACGCTTGCTTATTAATAATATAGGCTATAGCAATCTTATACTATAGGGTTAGAAACAATAAATTAATATACTAGGTCTCGCTATCGTAATTAGGTCGCCTCGATAGGCTATTAGTAGGGTTACTTACGCCTAGCCGATATAATATATTAAAATCGAACCTAGCGAGGTAGACGGCCTATCTAGCCTATCGACCTATAACCCTTATAACCTTAGTAATACTACGCAGGTTGTTATAGTCCGTATAGACCTAAATCGTATACTAAGCACTATCGAGATAGTAGCGCTAATACTTAAAGGCTTCTACGATTACTAAGAGCTCTTGCTCGTAGGTCTTATATCGACGTTCTATATCGATTATCTTTCGTAAAAAGAAGGCAATCGGGTACTAGTAATAGTTATTATCTAATTGCTGTAATATAATAGCCGATACAGCGAACTATAAAGCGTTAGTCTCAATTCGGATCTGCTTACTTAGTACGAAATAGTATAATAAGGGGACTTTAGTAAAGCGTTGCTTTAGACCGTTAAAAGCGGCTTGTGTTTTGTTAGTCTATTTAAACTCTCTAGATAGATTGGCCTTGGTTTTAGTAAGCTTAGTTAATAGCATTATATGCCTCGAATAGCCCTTAATAAACCGGCGGTAGAAGTTAGCAAAACCGAGGAATAATTAAACCTCTTTAATAGACGTAGGAATAGGCTATTTAGTAATTGTTTTGATCTAGTTAGGATTAGCCTTAATACCCTTAGTTAATACGAGGAAGCTAAGGAAGGCTACCTCCTTAGTAGCAAAGGTATATTTAGAAGGTTTGCAATATAGGCTATAGGCTCGTAGGCGGTCGAGGACCTTGCGTACTATAGCCTAGTACTCTGCAATGTTAGGTAAATAGGTATAAACTAGGATGTTATCTAGGTAAACTATACAGAGGTAGTCTAATAGGCCTAAAAGGGCCCGATTAATATAGGACT